ACTAGGTTTTGCAGGGGCCCACAAGTGATTGACACTTGGTTGATCCAGTGGCAGTTCTTCATTGCTACCTGTAGGGCACCGGTTCTGTCTCAATGCATGCCTTGTTGGTTGATCCCATTTCCTTTGACTTGTTCACTTGTTCCAAAGCTTGTATTTCCTGGGTCATGTACAGTACCATGAGATCTAGCCAGCCTGTGGTCTACCCGTATGCCCATGATGCGAGCAAGTGTCCTGCACTGGCTGCAGTCTTCTCTGTGCCCTGGGCTGATAATTATGCTGGGGTTCGGGCAGCCCTGTATTTGATAAATGTCCCTGGTTCCAGTAGAACCCGTGTTGCTGCCTCTCCTTATCCCCAATAAATATATTTTTTATTATCTGTGGTTACCTGCAGGGAGCCACCAGAGGCACCCCCATAAACCCAGTGTTGAATGTAATGAAACGGCTCATTCTGGATGAGCCTTGGTGGTTCTCAACCTGGTTAGTTGGTTCATCGGTGGGCTGTTCATCAGCTGCAGAACTGAGCAAGGAAGGTGGTTGTGTGCATCACTTGACTTTCTGGATGCTTTCCCAGTGTGGTGGCATGTTGTCACTGCTTCTCTGAGAGCAGGCCAGGTTTTGGTTCTGGTCCCTGGTAGGCTAAACTAAAGTCTGATGTGACCATTTGCATGAAGTAATCTCCGAGATAGCTTCATGGAGCCACCATGATTCATTCATAAAGCTGTTTAATTACATTCAATGCTGGGTTTTTTACCCCCCTATTTTTTTTTGCAAAAAGTAAAATTTTCCTGAAATGTATAGGTGATTTTTGCATTGCATCATATTATATAAAGTACTGGTATATTAAGACAAAAATATTTTGTTGGAGGAAATCAAAAGAATGTAAGAAATAATTTGTCCCAAAGATTTATGGATCAATCCAGTACAGAGATTTATAAAATATAATAAGGATACAGTACTATATATACTGTAGTCATATTTACAAGTTTATATTTTTTGGCATCTTATATATGTAATGGGTTAAATCATTGTGACAGTAGAATATCTGACATCAAGACATCAGATATTCTACTAATTTCAAATGATGGATAATGTATTACCAGTACGAACAGTACGAAGTACAGGTAATTGCTGAGAATTACACAGAACATTCTGAAAATATATTTATTTTAAATAGACTGTACAACCCACAGATACTGCAGATATTTGAATTGTCAGAAAGTACATTATCACATTTGTTTTTAAATATATTTTAAGATAATGACCCCTTTTTAAGGGTAGGAGCAATGTTTTTCAAGCCTTACCAGCTTATAATTAGGCACGTAGCTTAACGTTTGTGTGTTGACATATTCCAATTGTTATTGTCACACTTACCTTATTTCATTAGCAATATACAGTACAGTAAAGGATGCACCGAGACAAAACTTACGGAAATGCTACACTGAAAAATAATACCACGATTCATTACAGTACTTGCAGGTTCAAATCCCGGGTGGGACAGATATAGTTGTGTACATTTCCTATCATCTAATGCCTCTGTTCGCCTAGCAGTAAATAAGTACTCAGTCAACTGTTATGTGGTTGCATTCTGGGGAGGGTCAGTAGTTCGACCATGGGGAAGGGGGTCACCTCAATATAAACCTACCATGTATATATACACAGGCTGCCTGTCTCAACAATATTACCTTAACACTTTCGCTCACCCCGCACGCCACCCCTCAATAGTGCGATATGGGACCCAGGGTGTCACGAGAGCGCGCGTAAATTCTGAAAAGTGTATACTCTCTTCGACTTTGTCACCTTAATTCTCGTCCTACGAGATTAAATTTGGTATCATTGTGTTCGCAATAGAATTCTCTACAGCACTAAATGCATATAAACTCCAAAAGCCCGGCTAATTACCCGCAGCAAACAGAGAAAGTGCGAACGAGTTACCCAGGAACGCGCAAACGCGATAAAATGTTTTCACTATTTTCACTCTAGTCACCTCAATTTTTGTCCTAGGTCTTTCATTTTGGTCTCAGTGGGTTCGCAATAGAATTCTCTAGAGGAACATTAGCATATAAAATATAAAACCTGGTCACGCTCCAACCGCCGACGAGTTGAAGACGGGCCACGCGTTAGCCGCGAGTGAGCGCTCAGACGCCTTCCAGCTACACTCCCAATTCCCTCCCTTTTCAAGCCTTTCTTTCGCAATTTTCTTCCTGGAAGGGCCTTGTTCATGATCACTATCCATCGTGGAGTAAGGGTAGATAGTTTCTAAAGCCGCAGTAAGAAATATAGCCACGGAAAATAGCCAAAATGTTCACACGTTTGAGATGCGAGGGGAGGCGACATTGGTCACAACAGTGGAGCGAAAACAATGGGCCCACGGCATGTGCCAAGCCACCTGAGGGCCACGAGGCTCAACAAAGAAAATGGGATGACATCGGCGCACATTTTAAAACCAGTCCCAAAAAAATCGGATAAAAACCTGATTTTTGGCGATTATTTAAAGTGGATGACGCAATGCTGCGTCATCCCCGGTATTACCGAAAGTAAACGGATGACGCAATGCTGCGTCATGCCCGGGCGAAAGTGTTAATTATTGAATTCATATTTATAATAATCATCTTATCATCTTATTTATAATAATCACCATAATTAAATTCAAACATAAGTAATCTATAAAAATACCAGCACTGAATATAATTACATGATAATTTCTGTGTGAGCCTCGATGGCTCCCTGAGGCTATCTCGGCAAAATGGCTTCCCAATACTTGGTCACATCAGCCGTGGAGTTCTGTTTAGGCTACCAGGAAACAGAGCCAGAACATGGCTATCTCTTCCTTACAGAGAGCAGGTGACACTACCAACTCACTGAGAAAGCATCCAGAATGTCAGACAACTTATACAGACCACTGCTGGGTTCAAAAGAACTGAAGCCTCAAAACTACCAAATGAATTCTCCAAACAATGTAAACCACTAAATTTCTCAAAACTAGTGCGAGTTCGTTAGCAAACATTAATATTATAAACAATAATATTATAGCAGGAAATGAACCTGGAAATAATAAACCACAAGTCAGAGGACTACCGAGATTGTGATAAATTTTCACTCGACCAGCAGGTAACAGATTCAACTAGGAACAAAAAACTAGCGTTGAATGTAATGAAACGCCATTTTCTCGGCAAGCCCTGGAGGCGCCCTGAAGACACCCTGGAGGTGTCAGACTGATGTACACTATATTTGTTTGGGGCATCAGTCTGGAGTTCAGCCTACTGGGGACCACGAGCCAAAACCTGGCCCCCCCCTCAGCAAGGCACAGGGAGCAATAGCCACTGGACCATCCCAAACCGAATTAACTGGACACAACACATGATGCACCCCTGGCCTGACCAACCAAGCATCAAGGACCTAAGGACCCCTCCGAAAAGCAACCGCCTCGTTCTTCGCCAGAAAAGGAGAAGGCTGCAACCGAACAAACCAACCACCAGGACCGAAAGAGCAGAAACCCCTGTGCTAGAGAGCATGCAGCTCACCAACCCAACCACCAGAGGCCAATGCCAACAGAAACAGAGCCTTGGAAAAACAATCTTAAACCGAAGGGGGCCACCACAAACAAAGAAGAGGAAGGAGAGGAGAGCACCCTGTCCAAGGACCAGAACGGCTCAGGTGGCACATGAGCAGGCCGGAGGTGAAACAAAGCACGAGAAGCTTATGGAACGGGGCAGAAGCGACATCCACCCCGTTCGCAAGCTGGAGCGGCTCCGCCAGTGCCACATGATATGAGGCGACAGTATTATGCATCAAATGACAGTCCTGAAAAAAAGCCAAGATAGAAAGGACAAGACAACCTGAGCAGAAATAGAAGAAAACCTACGAAGAGAGAGAAAATGGGGGAAAGAACGCTGGGAAACTTCATACTGTCACCGAGATGAAGCTCTCAGGTGGGACACCTGAGACCGAAGTGAGGAGGAGAAGACCGAATCAGCCGTAAACTGGACCGGTCCGCTAGAAAAGGTGGAATCGTGGAAAATGCTGTGACTGCAACAGAAGAATGGACCCCATCGCCCCTGCCTGGCCTGGTGAGCATTGGTCACAAAGCCCCAGCCGAGAGACAAAGCATTCGTGAACACATCGAGCGAGGGCTCTGGTAGGCACCAAGGCACTGAACCTCGAAAACCCCAAAGAGGGTGCCGACGACGCAGGAACTTACACAAGGTCTCTGGATTATGAACCCAACGATCGCGAGAGAAGCGGAAGAGGCATCCCTGAAGGAACCAGAACTGATGTCGAAGCCAAACCCGACTCAGCAGTTAGATCAGCACGGCGAAGTTCAAACTCCCACACAACTGCTCAAGCAACCGCCGAGTAACCCAGGACCCCCCAGAATTTGCCAAAGGTGGGACCGCAGCCTTAGCAATGCCTCCAGAGGGAGAAACATGGAAACGGTCCGAGAGTCCCAAACAAGACCCAGCCAGGTCCGAACTTGGGACGGAACCAGACGGGTCTTCCAACAGTTCGCCAGGAACCCGAACCCGGCGAGCTGGGAAAGAACTACACCACTGGCAAGCAGACAAGCAGACCGACTGGGAGCTTATACCAGCCAGTCATCGACGTAAGCCAGGACCCGAACCCCTAACAGACGTAGATGGATCACCACAAACCAGGTGAATACGCGAGGTGTCAGATTCAACCCAAAAGGCAACAAAAGTGGTAAGCCTGATGTCCCACCACGAAACCTAACCAGTCCCTTGAACCCCGAATGAATAGCAACGTGTCAATACACATCCATGAGGTCCAGGGACACCATCCAGGCACCCGGCTCCAAAAGAAGTTGGATTGAGACAGAGTGGCCATCCAAAAGGAGGGGCAAGGAGGTTATCTTGAGATGATTTCAGGGCTTTTTTAGTGTCCCCGCGGCCTGGTCCTTGACCAGGCCTCCACCCGCAGGAAACAGCCCGTCACAGCTGACTAACACCCAGGTACCTATTTTACTGCTAGGTAACAGGGGCATAGGGTGAAAGAAACTCTGCCCAGTGTTTCTCGCCAGCGCCTGGGATTGAACCCAGGACCACAGGATCACAAGTCCAGTGTGCTGTCCGCTCGGCCGACCGGCTCCCTTCAGGAATCCAGGAGTTCAGACTGAACAAGTCCAGGAAAAAACCTCAGATCCCCACAGTCCCGTTCGAGACTGTGATGACCGAGATGACCTGACGAAGTGCAGGGGAAGAAGACTGCCCTGCCAGCCAGCCAGCCCCCCCCCCCCCCCGAAGAGGGAGGAGCCACCCAATGCCACCACAGGCCGAATGACATGACCGAAAACGCCAACGAATCGCAGGACCAAGCTCGAGCAGACAGAGCAAGCCATCCCGCCCCTTTGATTAATTATGATTAATTCAGCCAAGAATAACCAACAAAAAGTACATTTTATGTATACTCAACAGCTGTATAAGAGTTAAAATTCTATAAGTTCAAATTCTTGGGATCAAACGAGACCGTCTTACCAACTGCTTGGCCAGAACTTAGCACAGTATCCCTAACCACTAACAGATGATAGGACATGGACAGATGATTAGCATCCTACAGCCATACTCTTGCTGCAAACGGATGAAAATCTGAGCAAGGCATCCACTAAAACACATGTTACAGTCTAAAATAAAAAGGGCCATGGACCCAGCTGGTAGAATGAAGGAAATAATAAGGTAAAAACAAACGAATTTGAAATTTTACACCCAAATTTTACTATTTGGGGTGTAAAAAAAAATCAAATCAGGATCCTTGCACAACACATCAGGCATGGTTGTGTCACTCACCATATTCACTCACTAACTCAGCATAGATGCCACAACATCAAACAATTAGGATGGAAATCTGTGGGGACTGTTGTGGGTCAGGTGCTGCCAGCTGGTCCCAGTTGTGTATACCAGGCTGCTAGAAGTCTTGTTTGAGCCCCAATAGGGAAAACCATTTGAAAAGTTTCCTATGACATAGATGCCAAGAGTGTCACCCATCAAACAACTAAATGTGAACAGCTCAGAAAAAGTGGTATTTAGGTTAATGTCATCTTTTGAAAAACAAATCAATTGTTTTAATCTTTTTACTTTCCAGATATGTTTCGACCTTACTAGTCTTACCTCTTTTCTTTCCTTTACTTGGCTTGTGTTTCATTGGACTAACTTTTCTTTCTCCTTTCTCTGTAACTGTAGCTGTATCTCTCTCTTGTTGCATATCATTTTGCAGCTTAAGTGCTACATGGTAATCCATGTGCTCTGGAAGTTCAAATGCAGAAATGTAACAGCTGCACTCCTCACACTGAACCAAGTTTTTGCTGGAACCCACTTGTGGGTTTTCAAAATTGTCAGAGTTACACACATTCACAGTACCATTATTTTCACTGCAAGGTATTTTTGTATATAGAGTTTGATTGTCCTCACTTTGTTTACTGGTAAATATTGAATATTGAGGTATAACAGTTTTGCTCGACCCAGCAATAGCAAGAGGTTTCATAGACTGAGGATTCTCAACTTCACATTCATCTCTTGTACATTCTGAAGGCTTACCACTCATATACTTCAAAATTCCATACTTTTTGTCAGGTGTTTTCTCACAGTTGGCTTTGTGAAGTGCAAGTGCCTTTTCTACCTCAAATCTTAAATTCTTTGGCAGTAAAGGCAACAATGAAGCATCAAAATTCTCCAAGTCCGGAAAAAGTTCTTGAACAGAAATTTCTGAGTTTTGTAAAATGTTGCACGTATTTTTCTCTTCATGTTGCTCTCTAAATGTATGAGCAGGTGATGTATTTTTTCTTACCTGTGAACATAATGCACTATCACCTGCAGTGTTGTCTGGCTTATCACTAGGATTTTCATCAGCAAGAATGTCTTGAGCTGATAACAATGTTGCTTTACATGTGGAACTGCTCATTTTTATCCCACCAGTTTTGCTCTTACTGTCTCTGCTCTCTAATACCTCAATTGAACTCTTAGAGTCGTCTGAACTAAAGAGATCTGGACTTTCACAAATTAAATGTGTATTTTGTCGACAAGCACTATGGCTTATATCAGTGTCAGCACAATTTGGAACATTATTTTTAGACAAAGTTTTATCATCACTATTTAATAAATTGACCTGATTTTCTGCATCTTTATCTAAGAAACTAACAAGTAGATCGAGATCACTCTCATCTTCATCTTCCATCTCCCCATCACAAGTATTCACAGGTTTTGCTTCTTTTACCTCAGCATTATTAGGAGCACAATTTATTTCAGAGGTTCCATCATCTGTTTTCTTTTTTAGAGATGTAAAAGTTTTGCAAGCATTTTCATTATTTTTTGTATTTTTCAAGATGAAGTTTTTAAAGAATGAATTGTTTGAATTTTCATGCATTCCTTTGCTTTTTTCAGATATGGATTCAGTACTAATTCTATTAGCAGCAGTCACTTCATGAACTTTCAAGCTGCACAAATTAACTGCTGTATCATTTATCAAATTATCTTTAACTTGTGTGCTGTGTTTTTTAATAGATTCAGAACTTCCACCAACACATACATCTAAAATCTTGTCAGAATGCTTTAAGGTCAGAAACTGAGGAGTACTTGCAATGTGAGTCTCGTGTGTTTCCTCCTCACAAGGCATGGAAGGCATTCTCTCTTGTTGAGATACTAATGAATTATTCAATGCTACCTTTTTAAACATATCCTGAATGTTTCCTGAACTAGATCCTTCCCAGTCCTCAAATTTCCCAGCAGAAAGACTAATATTCTTGATGGCTGGTGTCCTGAAATAAAAAGAAAGTGATTGGATATAGCCTTGAATGGAAAGTTAAGAACAGTATTTGGTCAAGTGTTTGAATATATTGTATCAAATGCAAATTTTTTTCCTGTAAAAAAGATGAACCTGCCCCATACTGGCATACGCTTTTCTTATGCCAGTATGAAATACTTACCATGCAGGATCTTTAGGTAAGGCCTGGTTTGTGTGCTTTATCAAAGAAATTCCAAGTTGGCTAATGCGCTCTGCACTGTAAGACGGGAGTCCACAAGACCTAGAGAGCGATAACCAACGCTCGTCGCCATCTACTCTAATACTAACAGTTAGTGTCTTCGCCTGCCGCTTGTTCTGAAATTTAGTGAAAACAAAATTTTCTTTTACATAATACAATAAAAAGTGCAGGAGTCCACTACCAATAGCAATATTTGAAATTCTCTAGATTAAAATTTCTACCATGCATTAAAGAAAATATAACAGTGCATTAACTAATCAAAAATTTCTAGTTATGACTTATTTTATCAAGAACATAACTACTGTTTAGAGTTAAAACTGTCGAATTTAAATAAAAAAAAGACAGACATTATATACTGTGTGTATATATGTACAGTGGAATTTGGTTTTCGAATGCCCTCGTTTGTTTAATTTTTCGGTTCTCAAGCTCATCAAAAAAATTTGACTCGGTACTCGAAGTTTGCCTCGGTGCTCGAGTTTGTTGATACGTGTATGGGTCGACGAGCGCGTGGTTCTGTTCTGCTGGCCGAGGGGCAGGACAAGGCATGCACAGTTTAAGTGTCTCCCTCCTAGTGATGATCGCGCTTGAATATTTTTATGTGGGAGGACAACAGTAAGAATGGTGGGGGGACTGGATGGATGGTGAGGGGACTAGATGGATGGATGGATGGTGAGGGGAACTGGATGGATGGTGAAGGGACTGGATGGATGGATGGTAAGGGGACTGGATAGATTGATGGTGAGAGAACTGGATAGATGGATGGTGGGGAAACTAGATGGATGGATAGTGGGGAAACTAGATGGATGGATAGTGGGAGAACTGGGTGGATGGATGGATGGGCAGGAACTGGATGGATGGATGGATGGTATCTTGAGGTTATCTTGAGATGATTTCGGAGCTTAGCGTCCCCGTGGCCCAGCCCTCGACTAGGCCTCCTTTTTGTTACTCATCCCCAGGAAGCAGCCCGTAGCAGCTGTCTAACTCCCAGGTACCTGTTTACTGCTAGGTAACACGGGCATCAGGGTGAAAGAAACATTTTGCCCATTTGTCTCCACCTCCACCGGGGATCAAACCCAGAACCTCAGGACTACGAATCCGAAGCGCAGTCCATTCAGCTGTCAGGCGCCCCTTATGGTGAATGGTTGGGGGGAATGGGATGGATGGATGGATTGGGGGGAACTGGACGGATGGATTGTGGGGGGAACTGGACGGATGGATTGTGAGGGGAACTGGACAGATGGATTGTGAGGGGAACTGGACAGATGGATTGTGAGGGGAACTGGACAGATGGATGGTGGGGGGGGAAACTGGACAGATGGATGGTGGGGGGGAAACTGGATGGATGGATGGTGGGGGAAAACTGGATGGATGGTGGGGGGAAAACTAGATGGATGGATGGTGGGGGAAAACTGGATGGATTGATGGATGGATGGTGGGGGAAAACTGGATGGATGGATGGATGGATGGTGGGGGAAAACTGGATGGATGGATGGTGGGGGGAAAACTGGATGGATGGATGGTGGGGGGAAAACTGGATGGATGGATGGTGGGGGGAAAACTGGATGGATGGATGGTGGGGGAAAACTGGATGGATGGATGGTGGGGGGGAACTGGACGGATGGATGGTGGTGGAAACTGGATGGATGGTAGGGGAAACTGGGTGGATGGTGGGGGAACTGGATGGATGGTAGGGGAAACTGGGTGGATGGTGGGGGAACTAGATGGATGGTGGGGGAAACTAGATGAATGGTGGGGGGAACTGGATTGTTTCTGTTATCGTTATATCTGTATAATGACAGCAGCAGCTTCTTTGGCGACATCATGCGTTACAAATTGTAGTCACAAAACCACAAAAAACAAAGAAAAGCGCAAATAAATGCAGAGGGATGCTTGTCGTGTGCGATACAACAACAACACTGGCGTCGGAGATATCCGAGAATTTGCGAGAACCCGCGAGACACTAGGAAGCACCATGTGGTTTTTCTCGTTAATAGAGGTGAAGCTCGTCAATAGAGAGAAATTTGCTGCGAGTGGCTCGCTTGTTACTCGAAATACTCGTAGATAAAGCTGCTCGTTAACCGGATGGGCAACATCCTCTTTTGTCTGGTCGTGATGGTCGAGTGGATAAGGGATCTTGTACATCAGTTGCAGTGTGCTTCTGGCAGTATGAGTTCGAGTCACTTCTGGGGTGTGAGTTTTCAGTTGCATATATGCCTGGAGACCGTTCAGGCTTGTTCGCATTTGTGTTCTTTACGTGTGCCCCAAAGAATGAGGTTATTTGATAAAATACCATGCCCAAGATTACCATCAGAGTGCCGGTGGGAGGATGGGGAATTAGCCTCAGCTACCATCCTCTTTTGTCCGGTCGTGATGGTCGAGTGGTTAAGGGATCCTGTACATCAGTTGCAGAGTGCTTCTGGCAGTATGGGTTCGAGTCACTTCTGGGGTGTGAGTTTTCAGTTGCATATATGTCTGGAGACTGTTCAGGCTTGTTCGTCGCATGCACACACACACACACACACACACACACACATATATATATATATATATATATATATATTTATATTATTTATTTATTTAATGACTAAGAAATTTTAATTAGGATTGAAATATTTAATCATATAGAACATGATTTGAAAAACTTCTACAGGAATAACACAAAATTTAACATACTGCGTTTTGATCAATATTTAAACGTTCAGATAATTCATCTGCAAGGCTCTGCATCCACTTCCGCACCTGCAATGTGGAAAAGAAGCCAGTGAAAGATTAGGGTAAAAAACCAGTGTTGAATGTAATGAAACGCCATTTTTTGGGTCGAGTGCCCTGAAGCTAATGGACTGATATCCACTATATTAGTCCAGGGCATCAGTTAATTGGAGTTCTTTGCCTATCAGAAACCACGAGCCAGAACCTGGTTCCCACAGAGAGGTGCAGGGAGCAAGGTCTTATAAACACTCCACTTTGTGACAGTATAGTCATGTCTGCCATCGACCAGGGATATCACCCAGAAAGGTAAGAGAACCATTACAAACCCCAACTGGTAAAACATTACAACCCAAGACCGAACAGAGCCCAAGAACTCGCCCCAAAGAGGAAACAATAAACAAGCAAATATCCACTCAACTAGCGTTTCAGCTCGTTAGCGACTCCCCCTGGAGGGGAGGGGGCCCCAACCAGGAGGCCCGAGTATTGACACCGGCAGTTCGTAGACTGACAACAAACCGCCAACTGGAGAGAGGGAGGTTGTCAGGAAATCTCCGGGTTTAACCCAGAAAATGGCGTTTCATTACATTCAATGCTGGTTTTCTGAGGTGAGCCCTGTTGGCTCCCTGAAGCTATATACCCACAGATAAGTGAAAAGGACTTACCTGGGTGGCAGCAGCACCACATGCCTCATAATGAGACGGGACAACTGGCCGCAACGGACGCCCCAAAGCCACACATGACCACTCAGGGCTCGGAATGTTAAGAAGATAATGGGCAGCCAGGACACTGTTCAACCTCCAAAACCCCACGGGCCCGAATGTCGATCCAAGACAAAAACCGCAGCAAGAGCTGCAAACCTCTGCACATCATGGGCACAAGGATAGACCCGCAGGCTGGCTATACTTGATAACCCTGAAGACAACCTGAGAAACCCGAGCTCTGGAACAGGTAACGAGGGAAACCAGATCAATCCAAAGGGTGTCCCCGGACACAGAACCAGAGGCACACAGGTAACAGAGGAGAGCCACAACCGGACACAAAACATGATGCACCCCCAGCCTGACCAACCAAGCATCAATAACCCACAGATCCCTCCGGAAGCCCGCTGTCTCATTCTTCGCCAGAGAAGAAGACGACGGCTGCAAACAAACAAAATGCCTCTCAGAGCCAAAGGAGCAGAAACCTCTGCACTGGAGAAGAGCATGAAGCTCCCCAATCCGACACTCAGAGGCCAAACCTTCCAAAATGCACGAGAGAGCTTGCAGAATATGCAGAAGTGACATCCATTCCGAACGCAAGCTGAAGCGGCTCCGCCAGCACTGCACAATAAGAAGTGACAGTATTCAGCATAAGATGCTGGTCCTGAAAAAGTCAAGTGAAAAAGCACAAAACAACAGTCAGAAATGGACGACAACCTACAAAGGGACAGGAAATGGCGAAAAGAATGCCAAGAGACATCATACTGTCGCTGAGAGGAAGACCGCAGATGGGACACTCAGAGATGCCACCTGATCACCATACAAATGGCGATACAGTCACGTTAATAACACCAAATGCGAAGAGCAGAGTAGGGCAAACCAACAAGGTACCTCACTGACCCGACCTGCTTAAAGAGGTGTGGATAAACTCTTAGGTTCGGAGACCAAGCAAGCAGCGCCTAAAACCAAAGCTGGGCTGGCCCCCATGGAGCCAGGATAACTACCCTGCCCCGAAAAGATTCAAACCGAGCCAGTACCCGAAGCAACAGCTGGACCGGGGGAAAGAGATAAAGGAACCCTCATCTCAACCAATCCAGTCAAAAAGCATCTACCGCAAAAGCTTCACAGTCAGGGAAGGGCACCCACATATACTGGAAGACGTCGAGACCAACCCGACACAAAGAGGTCCATGTCTGAGTGCCCGAACGTCCAGCAAAGCCAACTGAAGGAGTCGGTGTCGACCATTCATTCCGTTGACAGAGGAATGAACCAAAACAGACCATCCGCCAGAACACTGCATACCCCACAGATGTGAACCGCACGGAGAGCTAAACCCCGAGAACTCAGCAGGAGAGCCACTTTAAGTGACCAGCCCCAAAGAGCTGCAGACCGAAGCGACCCCCCTCCCCCCCAGATCAGACAATGAACCACTGGGATGCAGTCCAAATGGAGCTGGATCACAGAACCCCGAGCGACCAGAATCCTCCGCAGTGAGAGTCACACTGCAGTGAACTCCCACACCATGCTGTGAGCCCAACAGAACAACGACCCTGACCGGCCTGGTGAGCACTGGTCACAAAACCCCAGCCAAGGGAAGAGGCATCCATGAACACATTGAGCGAGGGAATGGGTAGGTGCCAAGGCACTGAACCCTGAAAACCCCAAAAAGGAAGCCGAAGATGCAGCAACCGACACAAGGCCCCCGAGGGAGGTCAAAGCCAGCAATTGCGAGAGCAGCAAAAATGACTGACCCAAAGAAACCACAACAGCCTCCGAGGCCAAACCCGACCCTGCGAGAAAACTAGCAAAGCGAAGTTCACTCTCTCGTATAGCTGCTTGAGCAACTGACGAGTGACCTGGGGCTCCCCAAGAACAGCCGAAAGCAGGACCGCAGCCGGAACAACGCCATAAGATGGAGGGACATGGACGCCGTCTGAGAATCCCAGACCAGGCCAAGCCAAGTCCAAACCTGGGACGGAACCAAATGGGATTTGCTTCAGTTCACCAGGAACCCGAATCAGGCAAGCTAGGAAAGAACCGAATCCCTGGTGAGCAGACAAACGGACTGGCTTGGAACCCACACCAACCAGTCATCAAGGTAGGCCAACATCTGAACACCTAACAGACGAAGACGGGTCACCACAACCCGGGTAAGATGCGTAGAAATGCGAGGTGCCAGATTCAGCCCAAATGATAGGAAATGAAAGTGGTAAGCCTGACATCCCACCATGAAACCTAACCAATCCCTGAACCCCAGGTGAATAGAAACATGCGAATAAGCGTCCTTTAGGCCCAGGGACACCATCCAAGCAACCGGATCGAGAAGAAGTCGGACCAGGGACAGAGTGGTCATTTGAAAGGAGGTATAAGGAATCCAACAGTTCAGATGGGACAAGTCCAGAATGAACCGAAGATCCGCACAGTCCTGTTTTGGAACTGGTAACAAGCTAAAAACCCATTTGAGGGACACAGTGGTTTTGACCACCCCCAACCACACCCACTCCATGATGACCCGACAAAGCGATGGGGAGGAAGCCTGCCCCACCAGCCCCGAACCCCCCCAGAGGAGGAGCTGCCCAACGCCACCACAGACCAAAAGACACAACCCAAAATGTCCACAAATCGTGGGACCAAGCATGGGCAAACAGGACCAGTCATGGCCCCATTGCCTCGTCAACAGGGCAACCTGCATAAGGGCCAATGCGACCCCAGAGAAGACGACCTTCGGGCAGAGCGACCACTGGGCCGATCAGAGGAAGAAGGCCCCAGAGGAAACACGGGCTCAGAAGCTAGCACCAATGTCCCACTTCGAGCTATCGAAGCCCGAGCCATAGCACGATCACCCCGGGAAGAGAGAACAATCCTCGAGTTGTTCAAAGGTAATAAGGGTTGCTCGTTACCCTTGAACAACAAGGGGTAACGAGCAGCCCTCAAACTCTCACAAAGCGAAAGGGGACTTGAAAGACATATCCATAGCCGCACCGAGCCTCAAGAAATTTACCAGGACCCACAGGAGGAGGAATCCTGACAGAAGCCCAGGCACTGATGTAGCCGAAGCCGGTTGAACCCCATCTAATACTGGGCAAACTGAACCCAGGAAGTCGTGTGTGGAACCTCGGGGAGGGCCCAGACGAGCAGCACCAAACACAACATAGGCAAACCTAATTGGAAGCTAAGCAAACCTCCAGGAAAATAGAAATAAAAACCGGAAATCCTCGAAAAAAACACCACAAACAACCTGAAGCCAGAGAAAGTCACGGATGCCGGGATTATGCAAGCTATGCTAACACCGTGCCCCAACCAGCAACTAAAACATTCCCTACCCAGGGCCAGACGGAGAGCCCGACGAATCCCACTGAACCCCAAGAGCAAGGTCAATGACTAGTGACACTAACCTTAATGAGAGTGAAATCCTGAACGTCCCAGGGAAGTAAACCTTGAATATGCAAGTAAACCTTGAATATGCAATATGTAAACAATATGAATAGTGCCTTCCTTCCCTAAGCACCTACCGGGTGCCTAGGAAAGGAAGCCCTAGATACATGCAGTCCGAGTACTCTAGAACACCTGAAACAACCACACAGGGTAAAATCCAGACAGGAGAATGAGGCCAGAGATGAAGTCTGCTCTGTATGACATCAGTCATCAAACTGCCAATATCAGCACTTGGGCTGCCTTGGCGAGGGCCCCCCCTTCCCCCTCCAGGATGCCGCTAACTAGCAGGTGTGTTGGTTGAGTAGATATTTGCATGTTTGTTGTTTCCTCTTGGGGGGGGGGGGGGGAAGTTTGGACTCTGTTCGGTCTTGGGTTGCAAACCAGTTGGGGTTTGTAATGGTTTTCCTCCTAATGGCAGACATGATTATACTCTCACAAAGTGGAGTGTTCATAAGACCTGGTAGTAGGACCTGGTTCCTGGTAGGCAAAGAACTCCAATTAACTGATGCTCTTGACTAATATAGCGGATATCATTTCGTTAGCTTCAGGGAGCCGACAGGGCTCGCCTCAGAAAAGTATTTGAGTACACACTTTTTATTATAAAAAACTCCTTTATGAACAAGAAATAATGCCTCACACCACGAGGGATATTTTCATACATTCCTGCCAGGTCAAACTGGTGCATGGGATACACTGGTGAAGATATATTCCTCCCAGGAATGATCTTTATAAAGCTAATTCAAATATGGTGCACACAAAGCCACCCTTCCAAATGCTACTTTGCATCACAGCACCACCATGCAGTGCTCTCAAAAACAATAATTGTCAGCTAGTCTCGAAAATAATGGAAATAAGGGAAACGGGTAGAGCCAGAGGAATCCAATTTAAGGTACAAAGGGTGTCATTTAAAAGCAGTTCCCATTTCTCAGCAGGAACAACAGAGGCCACAGGGACCTGATCAGAACAAAGACAGAACTGGAAGAGCCTGCTACAAATTGGAACATCTGTCCCTACATGCAGGGTAAAGAACAAAACCCTAGAAGAAGTGGAGTAGGCACCAAATTCAAATGGGACAGGTGGGTAAAGCACTGATTCAAACTGCAGGAAAATTCCATCTAGCGTGTAAACCAAGGGCAACCAAGCAGCCACCTTTGGGTAGTCACCATCCATCCTCCCTCATCCTGTAAGAAGGAATGGCCTTCTTCACAAATTAGTCACGTGGTAACAAAAATCTGACCCTAATACAGGAGTACAAAAGACATAGCAGAGAGCTCCTACCACCTACTGGGAAAAAACACAATCTCCTCCACCCTTCCTCAAGCAAATAAAGAGGGAGGAAAGGAGAAGAAAGTGAAGAGCATGTAATGATAGCCTCACTGCCACATGCACCACCTGCCCAAAACTCATCCAACTCCAAATAGCCCAAAAGGGCTACAAATAGCTATCTGGAGCCCAAACCCACCCAAACAATGGTACTGACCCATTGGTAAGGGCCATTGGCCCATGGTAAGGACCATACAAAATCACAACAAATAAATAGACAAATTCTTGAGCTTTACCCCAGGAGATATGTAAATGTAGCCCTAGAGATACAACAATGTTGGACCTATGAGGAAATAAAAGATTTTGAAGATAACTAATCAGGACGACATCCTAGGTATGGTAACAATGGGGACCATGAAGATAGTGATAGGAGTTATCTACAACCCTCCACGCGATACAGGAAGGCTAACAGAGGAATAAGACAAATGCAAATAAACATACAGTACCTGAAAATAATGAAGACATTGGTAAGTGAAGTGTGAGCAGATTCTAATACTCGGGGCTTTTATTCACAGGAAAATATACTGGTCAATAAATTATCTTTACAAGGTAGATGAAACAATGTGTTTCCCCAAAATAATGAAGATGTAGAGCACTTAGATAGATGTAGGAAGATTAGGTGCCATTAGGAGCTAGTGACCACTGCATCACTATGTTCAAAAACATTGCAGAACTGCAAGAGGAAATTGGACCAAGAAACACATTGAAGGGTGTGTGGAAGAATATAGATAAGGAGCACTACAGGAGGGTTAGGGTCTATCTGCAGGATATTAGAGAATATGTTTTTTATGCATTACTTACCTTCTCCTTCGTATTTAGTGCTTCTTTTCCCTGGAAATTTTTTCCACAACCAACACTTTTCGGAAGCTGGCGTGAAATAACAGGCTCACTGTCCACTCCTTTCCCAAGATTATAAAGCCAGTACCTGTGAATCAGTGTGATCTTGTAAACGATAAAAGGTGTATTTTATAAATACAAATACAATATAAAGAACACCAAACACATTTCCTCACATTTTCTTAAATAGGAAACATCATTGATCAATTAAATTACATTTTAAGGTTGCTTCTCCACAACGACATGCATTATCTTATGACACGAAGCTCAAGGTGAACATTAATTTTGTTGTAATTCATTAAGTTCTGTGATGTAATTTGATCATTATATGAAAGATAGCAAATACAATAGGTACTTCATAGCTAAGCAACTCCAGAATTTTAGATTCAGTTTTATGCCATTATCATAGAGAGGATAATTCTCATTAGCCAGATCAGGGAAGAGAAAGTCAAGCCAGATAAAGTTTTACTTTCAAATTGCTTTATTCCTATGTTTAGAAAACAATATTCAGCAATTTCTTTCTGTAATAATTTCAAAATATAAAGTTCTAAATACTATACATTAATGTGATATTTTATAGTTTCAGAACTGCATGAAATACAGACAAAATAGAAAGGGGCAGTAACAAGATGTATTACAGTATAAGGAAAAAATCTTCTTCACTCAATTATGCACAGAAACAAATACAATATTCCTATAATAGTTAAAAACCAAAAACACGAGCAAGTGCAGATGAGTGCAACTTACGCTGTCTTATCATCGTATCTTCCCTTCAGCTGCTGGAGGGAAAGTCGACCAAGATCAGCCATGGTAACACAACTGAGCTCGTCTGTCACAGAGGCTCCAAGCTTGCCCCCAAGATTACGAATCTTCCCCACTTCCATATTCTCCCACAACTCCCCAACCTGACACTGAGGCAAGACAGTCTGCTGGTTGGGTTTGTGAAGTCCGCATGATAACTTGGCAAGCATCTGAAATAATTTGTGATCATTACAACCATATGTTGCCGAAACAGGAAGAGGAATGAAGAGTTGGACACAAAAACTTGAAAAAGACATACCTTATTATGAGCTATTCCAGCAGAACACTTAAAGCTGGTACGTTCAAAAACTGCTTTTCTCATTTCTTCACAAAGAATTGCTGCACAAGTTAGTCTTAGATTGTCCCAGTGAGGATGAGCAGAGGTTACAGGCAAGGCACAGTCCTCATCATTATACAGTGAAGCCAGCCAATTTTCTATTCCTTTCCGACGCATATCTGTAAATAGGTAATTCATCACATAACATTAAAACACAATTCCCCATTATATATAATACTGTACTCCATACTTTCTCTTTCTAATATTTAACAGCACCAGTGAAAATCTAGTGTTGAATGGCAGGAAATGCTATTTTCTAATAAACCATTCAAGTAGCTCCCTGAGCCATAGGCAATCCAAGCATTAGGGAAATGTACCATGACTCTGAGACCCACCCAAGTGCACTGGAGGCCAGGACCAGAATCTGGCTCTCTAGAAAGCAAGGCCCACATGCAACCAGATGGCAACCCTCGCCACCCAAGGGTTCCTGACAGCCAATGCCTCATTCACAAGCCACCCAAACACAAAATGCCCTCCCTCCCTCCCTACCCCAACTAGAGTTATGTAATCTGTTGTAGCTGGATTGCTACAACATGGGGTATATGACAGGCAAATAAAAGGGGCATGTAACTAGCTCACTGCAAATGAATGAAGTTGGCTCCTTTCTGAGCCAGTTCCTAAGTTACCCTCTTTCTCTACATTTTTGCTCCGTCTTTCCCAAGCATGCTTGGGTGGCGTGGTCAATAAATGACGTTCCCACCTCCTTTGATCCTGTTGTGCTATCACCTGGTGGCAGTTGGGGGATGTGGTCAATTGCTCATTCAATAGTTAGCAGAACGATAATTGACATTTTATTTAAATTTTCTGCTTGGGTAGGATTTGTCAAGTCTATTGTTCTTTCCTTTGCAAGAGACTGAGTTGGCCTCTCGGTGGTAGTTCAAGTTAGATTCACCACAGTTTCCCCTTCCCCAACTCTGTGATCGGACTACTGTATTTGGAATGTTTTTGGCCAAGGGCATTAGAGCCTGACAAGAGAAATGTACCTGTATGGACCCATATATGCAGCTTACTCAAGGAACACACCGAGGGAACAGCTCAGAAAGGCGTGTTGAATTTCACACGCTTTATTTTTTCAGAATGCATCCCAGTGTAAAGTAAGTACATTATGTTCACCTCTTGAAAGTTAAATGAAACATAATATTAAGTTTATTTTACAGAAAAAGACAATATAAAAAAATTCAATTTACTTTGCATCTTACACTTGATAGCTTACCTTCTTTATCCTCACATTCAGCCTTGTCAAAACCAATTACCCAGGTAGACTTCAGTACATCTGGAGTTATTTTATCTGCACATAACTGTTTCATCTTTCCTTCAATTACATTTGTGAAATCAATATATGCTTCATCAATGCTTGCTCTCTCTATGCAGTCACTAAAGTCACACAACACGCTGATCACCTCTTTCCCTGCATTGCGGTACCTAAAGAAAGAATGACTCTCATGTATAACATATAATTATTTAAAGTCATATCTTTGAGGGTGGAGTGTCTCAGAGAATCATGTTAACCACCCTTTCCTACATGTAATTCTGAACATCTTACATACTTTTTGTTTTTTTACACTAGATTTGAGGTTTTGGAAATAGCCTTTGCAAGAATGTTATTCTGCCACTGTATAGATAGTCTATAAATCCAGCATGCTTTAATGTTTGTGAACTATATACAGTATATACTGTACCACCAACACCTTTAGGGACTACAACACGCTTGCAACCAGTGTATCGTACTTGGGTGTCACTGGAAACAGAGTATCAGCCTAGCATGACTGGATGAAACTAAGTGTCTGTTCACTGTTCCAGAATTCCTTGTTAACCACTCTTGTGACTGCCAATTGGAACTCTGGATTACTGTAATCTACCAGTAACAATCAAGGTTGCACCACCACACTGCCAACAGGAGGCAGCACCTCCCCAACCCTAGATACAACAGTTCCTACCCTCCTCTTATATGACAGAGAGGGGAGCCACCCTCATGATAAAGTGAAGATGGGTCACAAAAGGCATTGGAAAGGCAGAATAATGCGCTCCAGAAAGATGAATTTTACAACCACAAATTATGATAGCTATACCCATCATGATGTAATTTCCATTACATGTAGAAATCACACTATTGTGATATATCAATGAGAAAAACCATTTCCCGATCTGCTTTTTTTCTTTTGGTTATGTTTCTTACTCTTGCCCCATCCCTCCCATCAGCCCACCCGGCAACCTAACATGTTCTCTGGCACCTGATCTCTCCCGCCTGCTTGAGCATAGTATTTACCTGTACATACTATAAAGTACTATAACCATATTCTGCTACCATTGCATTTAGATGATCAGCCTGTGTGCTCTAAAAAAGTTTAGTTAAAATGATTTTTTTTAACACTTTCCAGTAAAAATTACAACCCACTAAAATAATTGTTTACATACTATTTGTGTATCTAAATATGCATAAACATATATTGAATCACTTGATATAAGAAAAATCAAGAAACTTTGGTGGTAAATAGCCAAATATGGCTTAATTTTAGGAGACAAGATTTCCAGTCAATCTGGATCAGTTCTAGAATGATACAAGCCATATGTGATGATCAAACCACACACCAGAAGATGAATGCCGTTTCATTCACCAGAAGATGACGATGTTTCGGTCAGTCCTGAACCATTATCAAGTCGATTGTGATGGAAGTGAGGGAGGCACAGGCTCGTGCCTCCCTCATTGCTATCACATCTGACTTGATAATTGTCCAGGACGGACCAAAATATCGTTGTCTCTTCATCTTCTGGTGTGTGGTTTAGACAGCCACGTTATGACTCATTATCTACATATAAGCCAGATTTTTAGGTTTTCCTGTATGTGATCTCCAAGAACAAGTAATTATGTACTAACTTAGTAAGATCAGCTTTCCCTCTGCTCACAGGAACTTGCACTAACTGTATGTCTGGACATTTACTTCGAGCTTCATCTCCACGCATGCCTCGTTTCACACCAAAACTGCGAGCTTCATAGTTGACCGCTATAATCCTGAAATTGAAAATGTAATTTTTATTATAACTAAATAAATAATATATATACCCACACGCACACTCCCTCTCTCTTAGGTAATTACACAGTGCGTTATTGTTTGAACGAACTATATAGCACAAAGTCGATTTGTTCCATAAGATATTTCGTTCGACCCATCAGCCCCCAGGCTACCCCCTCACCCCAGGAAAATAAAACAGAGGGCCTGTATCCACTATAATGCGTATAAAGGTTTGTTACTTACTTACCTTACCTGGCAAAATACCTGGTAGCAAAATATCTTCATAAATAACCCCTGAAGCATATATTAAACAAAATATTACAGAAAATTTCTTTATTATGTATTTATCATTTTTTATTATGTATTTATCATTTTAAACACTATGCTGAATATGATAGAATGCACATTGGCCAATCAATTCCATATCAAAGTCATAGCTTTATGACAATTATTGATGGACATAAACATTAGGTAATGGCCAGAATTTACATAAACTGTATCAATCTCAAAATAAATACACTATTCACCAAAAATTTATTACAAATTCTTTATTTTGATATGGTATATGATAGCGATTGGTTGGAAACAATTTAGTATAAAAATTATACATATACTGTACGAGTATTATTGAATCCAAACATGCTAAATGTTTTCTAAACAAACAAATTTTCTAAACAAACTGGTGAGGGTGGAGGATAGAGGGAGACAGACACCGCTGCATCCCTCCTCTACCACAATACTCCCGGTGCATCAAGTGACACCCGTTAGCAGATGGATGGATGCTTTGTCATGCCAGAAAGCGGCTACACCATGTGTGTTATCAAATTTTTACTCAACTGGAAAAGTATTCTAACTATTAGAATTACCAGCATTATGATTGCTCCAGTATAGTATCTTGCTAATAAAAAAATTTAAAAAATTACAGTACAGCTAATGTGATAATTGACAATAACATCTCTCAATTAACTCCTAGCATGAAAGCATTTCACTGGCTTCTGTGTACCTATTCACTGGTAGTTTGAGTAAGTACCTAATTGAAGTTATAGGATGAGAGCTATGCTTATACAGGGGTACCTCGATTTACGAATTTAATCCATTCCTGGAGACGGTTCATAACCCAAAAATTCGTAAACCGAAGCAAATTTCCCCATAAGAAATAATGAGAAATTAATCTGTTCCCGACTCCTCAAAAAATTAACTTTAGTAAATTTTATACCTAATTCACCCAAATCTTCACTACAAAAGTACGTACAAGTTATTACTTACCTTTACGGATGACTCGTGTTGGCGTATGGAAGACGGCGAGGAGGGGGGAGGAGGAGAGGTGTTACTGTTTGGAAGGGGAGTCCCCTTCCATTATGAAATCAGGCAGTGAGGACTTCTCTAGGGTGCACACACTGGCACGTTTTGCCTGCATACCACTAGGACCTGTTTCTGACTCACTGCATGATTTCCTCATTGATTTTCTTGAAGACTGTTTTTCCTTTCTTTATAACGCTTGTCTGTAGTGAGACATCACATTGTCATTAATAAGATCAATGCAACGGCCTGCTAAAGCTTTATCTGGGTGATTCTTTTCAGCAAAACTTTGCAGTTCTTCCCATACTGCACACATTTTTTTAATTAATGAGGAAGGGACATCCTCTAATGCCTCCTCCTCCTCCCCTGAAGATTTGTTATACAGTACTGCTTAGCTAGTTCAACAACACACATACCATTTTCATGTTTATAAATGATCTCTTGTTTTTCCTTTATGGTCATTCTCACATGTGTTTTCTTGTCTTGAACCTTACCACTGGCTTTCTTGGGACCCACGGCAAGATATATAATAACAACTTTTATGTTCAAATAGCCAAAAATCAGAAAAAACTGTAAATACTTTCATAGAATTCAGGTGGGATAGTCACTAGGTGGGAGGCACTGGAAAACTGAGGCGCAATCGCCGTGCCACCACGTGCTAGGTCGGCCATTTGCGTATCAACAAACTCGTATCCCGAAGTAAAGTTCGTAACTCGATTCCAATTTTCCGAAGAAATCGGGCTCCTAACCTGAAAAGTTCGTAAAGAGGGGCATTCATAAACCGAGGTACCACTGTAGTCTCTCATTTTCCCAGTTTTCTCTCTGTCATATAACGCTTTGAAACTACAATGGTACCTCGAATAATGAACGCCTCAAATGGCGATCATTTCGAGTAACGACTGGCAACAGTTCGTCTTGTATGGCGAACACTCATTTGAATAACGACGACACCACATGGTGGGGTCATGCTGCTTCTTGCACATTCTCGGACACCTCCGACGATGCAAATAACTTATGTTGTTCTTGTTTAAAGATGCTAATGATGCTGGGATATAAAGGGGTGCCTGCTGAGATGTTGCAGAGCATTGACATTTTTGTAGAAAAAAGAAATGAAATTTCTGAAATACAACAAATGTTAAAAAGGTTCGTTCGGTGTTCGGCAGGTAGGCTGCTCCATTATACAGTAACTCTTTCTTTGTTTCAAATGTGTTCCATATGTTTTGCATTTGTCATTTACATCTCAATAATGGAGCAGCCTACCGTACATACACTGAACAAACCTTTATGACATTTTTCTTTCTTCAAATTTATTCAATATTTATTTTTCATTTGTCTTATAGCAAAAGGTTCGTTCAGTGGTCGGCAGGTAGGCCGCTCCATGTTTCTTAAATAAAAAAAAAAAAACGAAAAATAAAAAAAGTTGAAAATTTGAAAAATGGACAAATGCCATTAAGGTTCGTTCAGTGTTTGTCGAGTAGGCTGCACCATTATTGAGACGTAAATGACAAATACAAAACAAATGGAACATACTGTATTTGAAACAGAGAAAGATTGTTATAATGGAGCAGCCTACCCGTCAAACACTGAACGAACCTTAATGCATTTGTCCATTTTTCAAATTGTTTTAACTGTCTTTTTTTTTCTTTTTTTTTTTAAAGAAACATGGAGCAGCCTACCTGTAGACCACCGAACGAACCTTTTGACATTTATTCTGGTTTTTAAAATTCTTCATTTTTTATTATTTTCGTATTTTTTTATTTAAGAAACATGGCGAGCAGCCGCATCCAACAGCCTGGTTGATCAGTCCGGCAACCAGGAGGCTTGGTCGATGACCGGGCCGCGGGGACGCTAAGCCCTGGAAGCACCTCAAGGTAACCTCAAGGTATGGAGCAGCCTACCTGCCGAACACCGAACGAACCTTTTGCTATAAGACAAATGAAAAATAAATATTGAACAAATTTGAAGAAAGAAAAATGTCATAAAAGTTTGTGTAGAGTATGTAAGGTAAGCTGCTCCATTATTTAAAATGTCAAATATCACATTGATGTTTTTCGGTGGTAGAACGGATTAATTTGATTTCCATTAATGTCAATGGGGACATTCGCTTTGTATGACGTCCGTTTCACATGACGACGACGGCGCCGGAACGGATTAAATTAGTTATTCGAGGTACCACTGTACATGTACTGACAGTTTTGGCTTCTAACACTTACTCCCTTAACTTGTTCCATATGCTGTACCACTCAGTTTGCAAGTGAACGTTCTAATGTTTTTTTGGCAGCTTTGTTTACTTAGTTTGAACCTATTTCCTCTTTGTTCTTGAAGTTGCCATTTCACAATTTTTTCTTTGTCAATTCCAGTTACTGTTTTGTACATATTGATCATATCACCTTTTTTTCTGCTATCTTTTAGCTTTTAGCATATGTAATGCCTCTAACATCTGCTTGTAGCTCTTGTTTTTCAGATCCAAAAGCCATATACTGTAGTTGCATGTCTTTGGACCTTTTCTAGTTTAATCATGTGCATCTTGAGATATGGGCATCATAAAACTGCTGCAAATATTCCAACTTTGGTCCCCACAAAGGTCATGAACAATTTGTTTTTAATATTTTACCATCCATGTATATAAAAGAGGGATTCTAAAGTTGGAAAGTATAGCATATGCTCCTCACATAATGTTCTTTGTGCGAGCCCCAGGTGACAATTTCTTTTTATCCAGAACCAACCCAAGATATTTCTTTTTCAGATTCTTTAAAGCTTTTTCAGATAATTTGTAGGTTGTGTGGGGCCTATTTTCTCATATTCTACATTCCATAACATGGCATTTATTCACATTAACTTCCATTTGCCAAATGTTGCTCCATACACTTGTTTTGTCCAGATTTTCTTGAAGGGCATGGCAATATTCTAAGTGTTTTTATCTTCCCGCGTAGCTTGGCATCATCAGCTAACATGTTCATATAGTTCTGTATTCCTTATGGTAGATCATTTATATAGACAATGAACATTACTGGTGCTGGAACTGAACCTTGTAGTACTCCACTAGTAACATTTATCCAGTCTGATACATTGCCTCTGATTACTGCCCTCATTAATCAGCCAGAAAATTTTTCATCCATGTCAGACGACTCCTTGTCACTCATCCAGTATGTTCCAGTTTCCAGAACAAAGGAAAATAGGATCTTACCCGGGAGGGCCCTCAACGACTTACCGGGTCGTTGAGGGCCCGGCACATTAGCAAGATAACGGGCAGCCAGAACCATGTTAGATCTCCAAAACCCCAGTGCCCGAATGTCAGCCCAAGACATATTGCCAAGCACAGCAGCCAAAGCTGCAAACTTACGAACATCATGGACACAAAGGTAGACCACAGGCTGGCTAGACTTGATAGCCCTGTGGACAATCTGAGAAACCCAAGCCCTGGAACGGGGAACAAAAGAAACCTGGTCAACCCACAGTGCGCCCCTGGACACAGAACCCGAGGCGCGCAGGTAACGGCGTAAAGCCGCAACTGGACACAAAACATGATGCACCCCCAGCCTGACCAACCAAGCATCAATAACCCACGGACCCCTCTGGAAATCTGTTCTCATTTTTCGCCAGAAGAGAAGGAGACGGCTGCACACGAACAAAACATCCACCTGGACCAAAAGAGCAAAAGCCTCTGCACCGTAGGAGAGCATAAAGCTTCCCAACATGACCCCCAGAAGTCAAAGCCAACAAGAACAAAGCCTTCTGGAAACAGTCTTGGACTGTAGGGACCACCACAAACTGAGAAGAGAGAAAGGAGAGCACTCAGTCCAAAGCCCAGGACAGCTCAGGCGGCACTTGAGCAGGCCAGAGGTGGAAAAAGGCACGGGAAAGCTTGCGAAACGGAGCCAAAGTGACATCCATCCCGAACGCAAGCTGGAGAGGCCTCTGTCAGCACCGTACGATACGAGGCGACAGTATTCAGCACAAGATGCCTGTCCTGAAAGAGCCAAGAAAGAAAAAGCAACACAACACGATCCGAAACCGAAGACAACCTGATTAGTGAAAAGAAGTGGCAAAAAGACCGCCAAGAGATTTCATACTGCTGCCGAGAAGACAACCGCAGGCGAGACGCCATTAGAAAAGCCACCTAGTCACCATACAGATGGTGATACACCCGTGTCAGAAACTCTAGAGGCGAAACATGGAAGAGTAGAGTAAACCAGCAAGGTACCTCACCGGCCTGATTTGCTGAAAGAGGAGGAGCTGCAGAAAATGCACCAGGTTCGGACACCGAGCAAGCAGTGCCTGAAACCAAGACTGGGCCGGCCACCATGGGCCATAAGGAGAACCCTTTCCCAATAGGACTCGAGCTGAGTCAGAACCCAAAGCAACAGCTGTACCAGGGGGGAAGAGATACAGGTAACTCCACCTCGACCAGTCTTGCCAAAAAGTGTCTCCTGCGATGGCCTCGTAGTCGGGGAAGGGCGCCACATAGATGGGGAAACACCTCAACCACGCCGACGCAAAGAGGTCCACCTCCGGGGGCCCGGCAGAGCCAACAGAACGAGTCGGTGTCAACCGTCCATTCTGTGAACAGGGGAATGAACCATGACAGGCCATCCTCAAGGATGTTGGACACACTCCAGATATGAACCGCAGGAGAGTTAAAACCTGAGAACTCAGCAGAAGAGCCACTCGAAGCGACCAACCCCAAAGAGCCACGGAAAGCCGAGACCCCCTGTGGTTCAGGCAATGAACCACCGAAGTGCAGTTCGAATGGAGCTTGATCGTAGAGCCGAATCCGACGCAGCGCAAGCCACACTGTCGCACTGCTTGTACACTGTATTCAAATAATGATTGGCTGACCTAGTACACTTCATTACAACCATATAGTGTTGTGAAAACCAGATGAGCATAATATGTATACATATCATGTAATTATAATGGAATTTTATATTGTGACAATTATCGCATTGGCTTAGTAACATTTGCGACAATAACCGCATTTACATACAAAGCAATAGTGAAACAGTAGTAGGAGTCTTGACCCCTTTTTTTCATGGGTCAAGATAAACTCCACAACATTCACATAGAGTTATTATATCAACATTACCATCATTGCTGTAAAACCCAGACAATAATAATTAAAATCAACATATGGTGCTAACTGTATTACTTCATGAATCAACATATGATGATAACCGCACTTTAAGAGTTAAGTGCCACACTCGTGGGAGAACTACACACTGTACTTATTGTTATGCCATCAATTGATTTTCTCAAATATGAGAAATTAGATCTATTTAACAAGTTAAAAATAGTTCCATATGACCTTTCAATGAAACAAAATAATTCCTTGAACATTTTAATGAAGTAATCAAGAAATTGCTTGTAAGTTTGCAAACTACTGTATTAACAGTATAATTCATAAGCCACAACAAAATAAAGAAGACAAACAGCAAGGCCAAATTAGAGTAACGTCATCTAATATTAATGTCAACTACGTACAGCACTGTCTTTGTGTATCTCTACATCGTTACCAGAATAGTACAGTTCAGTACATCATTACATGACCAAATGAGAAATAACACAGAAAACCTGTACAATAAAAGAAAGGGAAGCATTACCCTCCACCTTTCCAGGTGTTGTACTGGACCACAGCTGCGGGGACGCCCTTGATGTATGGGTGGTCACGTTCCTCAACCTGCACATAGAAGCAATCCATATCCAGCAGAGCCACAACTCTCTCAGTCATACTGGCACGTTACCCACTCTCTCTGTTTACAATCGACGACTCAGTTCTGCAGAAACATACTTCATTATTCAAAATATTTTCTCTCTCACCTAATAAATCTTTCACAGAAACATGAAAGCCCCAAATTACCTACCTATTTAGCAAATAATTCAAAAATTTATTAGTTAAGCTTCCCTATAAAATATGCTCAGGATTGGTTTATATATACAGTACTATATTTCAAAACACAAACTTCACAATCTTTGGATTATTTGTCATACTGTATTATTAAGCAGCAGCATTATAATTAATGTAATTATACCTTAGTGAAGTACAGGGTAACACTATCCTCGTAAAAATGTGTCACACATTTTTAAACAGTTTAATTTGCTAAAACTATGCAAAACAAGGTCTCATTAGAGAAAAAACAATTACAGTATACAGATTAATAACACATTTACAACATTATAATTACAGAGAATTTGTCTACTTTTCATTATGTATAATAATATAAAACACTAAAAAAATTAAGCATTAAATACAGTACAGTATAATTAAATTTTTTCTGGTGGGCCTCCAGTACCTTTCCAAGATTAGGTCAGGAACCAATAAGCCTTTAGCCGATTGCTAAGTGGTTTCAGTGACTTGAATTTTTCAGGCCACTGAAACCCATCTTTGTCTTTGGCAAGCCAACTAGACTATGGCTTATTCTACATGGCGAGGGAAGAGTGGGGAAGAGAGACCGACTCAAAACAGTGAAAATATCAAGCAAAAAATATAGGTCCCACTAGGTAATTGACTGCTTAAAGGAAATCAGGTAGCCCAAGGTAAACAAGACAAATGATCCATACAGCTATGTAAATACCCTATGGTACACTCAACTGTCACAAAATGGCAACCTAGGTCATGTGGGGTTTCAGCCAGCCTACCATGTCAGTCTGGAGGTGACAATGTTAAGCCCCTCAACCCTACAGGAAAGAACTTCTAGGAAAAACAGAGAACTCATTCGTGGCTAAAAAGCACAAAGACAAGGCAGAGAGCAATCCCCAGGACAACAAAAAATAAAACCCCTTCATGCAGCAGAGAACATGAAGTTTGCTAACATTACTAAAAGCCAGAGCCAACATGAAGGAAGCACTTACGAAGAAATCCTACACCAGAGAGGGACAAAATAAAATGAGGGGAGGACATAAAAACAAAAAGTTCCCAAGTGGGCTCTAGAGCAGAGCTTTTCAAACTGCAGGTCTCAACCAATTGTACTGGGTCACAAAATTTCCCAATCAATTGTACTGGGTCACAAAATACATAAATAAAGAGGGTTAAAACAGAAAACATTCATAAAAGCTTTAAGGAAAAAGCAGTAATATATTTCAACATATTGAATATATCAAAAGGTTTTAGAAGATGTTAAGGCTATGGAAAGTAAGAATTAAAAGTGATCAACCCAACTACTGTTTCCAACATTGTTAAAACACACTGCTGAGAACATTGTGAATGAAGATCTTTAAAAAGAATTGAAACTCGAGATATTGTTACATCTCCCTTCTCTATCCCAAGACTTTAACTATTTTCCAGTGCAAAAATTTGAAATGGTAAAGAAAAGCCTTTGGACAAAAAATCTATTTGAATTTAAATGCCCTTAATCAATAATTGAGTTAAACTTTGATCCTGTAGGAGATGCTGAATTGCTGCATCTTAGTAGTTCATTTACACAGAAGAAGAATTTTGAGCAATTAAATTTGTCATCATTTTGAATTCAGGTTAAAGGAGAATTTCCACTTGTAAGTCAAAAGACAATATTGATACTATTACCTTTTACTATTACATGTTTGTGTGAACTAGGAATTTCCCCACAAACTCAATTAAAAATGAAAGATAAAAACCGGCTCAATAGGTATGCGTGTAGCACTGTCTTTATGGAATCCTGGAAATTGGAATCAACTTATGAAAAAACAAGTACAGTGGCGCCTCGATTAACGAATTTAATCCGTTCCGGCACCGAGCTCATCATGTGAAACGCTCGTCTTGCAAAACAACAACAACAATGTCATCGGAGGCGTCCGAGAACCAGCAGGAACGCAAGGAAGCACCATGTAGTTTGCTTGTTAATCGAGACAAATTTTCTGTGAGTGGCTCGCTCGTTACTTGAAATACTCATAACTGGAGTCGCTCATCACTCGAGGTTCCACTGTACGTCCTTCTCATTATATGAAAACTTAATAAAAAAATTGGTTTACTGTGTCTTTCTTGCTAGAATTTTGTGCAAAATGTTTCATTTTTCTATATTCTTCCTAAAAGTAGAAAAATGTAATTTAATTGAATAGGTTCTATCCATAAATATTAATTTATCATGTGACAATAGTAAATGAACATAATTGTCAGAGTTTGTGATTTATTCAACCCCCCCACTTGTTTAGATAATACTTTTTGTAACCATGTGGACCATCGTACATATATTGATATACTGTAATGGACAATTAGATAGTAGAATTTGGTACTATGTATTCACTTTATAAGTCCAGAAATAATAAAGCTAAAAACCAAACTTAAATATCCCTAGGCCTAGTATAGCACATACTGTATATAGTATATACTTTATTAAACCTCAGTGTATTAGGCCTATGATGGTTAGGTTAGGGTTAAGTTTTATTAGCAAATACAAAACATTATCTGGTTTGTCCAAATCCAACATTACTAAATCGTACTACCTAATTGTTCATTATGTCAATAAATGTATGATGGTCCACATAATTATTATCAGTACAGTACTATCTAAACAAGAGTATGGGCTGGATTTATTACACATAGGCATATCGGGTCACAATTTAATATGCAGTTCTCGCTGTGGGTTGAAGTGAAAAAAAATAATTAAAACACTGCTCTAGAGGAAAAAGGGGAGACTAGAAATGAAAGAAAGCCCTGGACAACTTAAGGAACAGGACAAAGATCATGCACCCCAAAAGTAAAAAAAAGTTCTGCCAAGGTTGAATGAGTAAATATGTCTTAAGGTCAAAATTCATTCCCACACCTCCTTCCCGGGTGAGTCTTAAAATGGTTCTAAAATCTGCCAACATGGGGCTACATGGCCCAATAATAATAAGATCTTGAACCACCATACATAAATCTTGAAAGTTTCAAGTCAAAATGCAAAGGCATTTTCCAGATACAGTACTGTACTGTATTGTAAAAATGGGTAACCCCAATTAGCATTGTAAATACTATAAGACATCCATTTTAAAAATATTAAATAAATTAAAAAAGGGCTCTGGTGAAAAAACTAATTGAGGTAGAAATTTATGTAATAACTGTTGAAAGCGTTTCTTGATACAGTATCAGGACACAAAACTTTTATGCAACTATGCTTTTTTTTTATATACAGTATTATGAAAGTTATGTCTACAATGAAGAAGGATTAAACTACAGTAGTTCTAAAATCAGCCTCCAGGGGATTACTTGAACTAAATGTGAAAGAAACCTTTCTTTTGCCAATATACAACACTATGTTAATGTTTAAATTTTTACCAGATACACAGTTTTCTCTAGATATTGCTGTAGTGATAACACCTGCTTTGTGCCTTGCGAGTGAATTGGTCTTGGCTCGAGTCCTGATCAGAGAGGATTTAGTGAACAGGTCCATAACTGTCAGTCCCTGTTCACCCAACAATAATTAAGTACCTGCTTGTTAATCGACTAGCAGGTCATGTTCCAAGGAAAGCTAATGGGTAAAGGCTTACCATGAGCTATGAGAAGGGAAAGCTCCCAGCCTGCTAACAGAAGTCAGAAGTGTCTATTCCTGTACCCATCTGTGCAAATAAACATTTATTCCCCCACCCTCCAAATATAAACAAAATTGTTAAAACCTTAAAGTATTCCTTATCGGCAATGCCTAACAAAATAGTTACTGTGGCAACATTACCTATCTCGGCCTACTCTGTTACGGCCGCCTCGTTACAAATCTCTTGCCATAATTCAGCTTTCCTTTCTGAAGTCACAAAGGTTTTGGAAGTTAAGCTACATTTAATTTGCTTGATTTCCTGTGGTGATAAATCAAAGTCACTTTCACTTGTCTCTGAACTTAGATTTGAAGATAATGAGGAAAAGATATCTTCAGAATTTTCAAGAGTGTTTAAATCCATAACAATGTTGGAGTCTTCAACAGTAGTGGTAACTTCTATTTCAACTGATTTTGTTATATTGTTCCTTTTTCTACCGTTTAACTTTGTCTGTCTATTGGATTCCTTCCCTTCATTTGATGTACATTTCCTCTTCATGTTACAACTTCAAGCCATTAGATTTTACCACGTAAATATTGAAGATGCTACGCATACACTGCTTTTAAGTGCGGCAATCCTGCAGAATAAAAAATTATATCTTAAGATTTATAAGCTTATAAGTTATTAGACATATATCAGTAATTTTAGTTTTTCTGACAAATTTCACTTATTGAAACTTGAATTATGAATTTAGGTAATTTTCAAAGAAAATATTTTCCTCATTCACATACAGGTCCCGAGTACTGTACTGTACTGTAATCTTGAATCTCGTCCTGAGAAAGATAATTATAGAATAAAATATACAGTATTCAATACATTGATGCAACTTTCATGCTTCCGACACAATTCACATTTATTAATTGCTTTACTTGCAGATGGCCTTTTTCATGGGAGTCAGCATGATGCTCTGCGATGAGACAAAAGTTGCTCAACATCCCCCCAAAACTGTGGAAATGTTCCAACAATGAGTTTGTTGTAATTGTGACATTTGCAGTGATAAATCTTATGCAGCTATATCATCTGAAAGGACAAGAACTTGCCTTTATTTTAAAATCTTACTCATAAAAGTATGTGGCATGGAAGAGAAGATACAGCACAATACTGAACAGTACAAGTGTTTCATCACAATCCTTGAGTGAGTGTTATAGGCCAATATACTCACATTTCACTCTATAATAAAGTGTTTTTGCTCTGTCCAATGATATATAATATATATTACTGGATTACACATGGTTCATCACTGTGAATGTACAAATTCTCTTCCAAGGACATCTCCATTGGGAGATCTGGGTACAGAAAGGATTTTGCCCTCCCTGCTAGAATATTAGGTAAACACACATCACTTGAAAATTGTAATACGCACATTTGTAGCACCCCACCAGCCTGTATCGAACAAGATGCAAGTCACTTTGTACAGGAGATGGAGTGTATTAACATTTTAAATTCTAGCCCCACCTAAACTGTTCCTAAACTGAACCAATAAGGGTCAATATGCATTCCTAAAACAGATAACTATGTCACATCAGAGACAAATGTACCTGGATTGGGATCTGGGAGTTGTTGTTCTCCCCAAGCCCAGCCTGGGGCCAGGCTTGACCTGAGAGAGCTTAGTCTAATAGGTTGTTGCTTGCAGCAGCCTGCAGGCCTCTTTATATATATTGTATGCATATCTATATTATATTATATATATTATATATACATATATATATATATATATATATATATATATATATATATATATATATATATTTTTTATATATATATATGAAAATATTTAACCATTGTGGACAACTTGGGATAAACATTTCTTAAAACAGGGAATCAAGGAAATCATATCAACAAACAGGGCATCAACCACAGTAAAACAGGTGGCACACAGCAACAAACTGCTGCAACTGGACACAACAAATGATGCACCTGACTCAATGACCCAAACATCAATCGCCTATGGACCTACATCAAAAGCCAGCCAACTCCTTTACAGGGTCTCGTAGTACAGTTCACGCCATTTCCGACTCCCAATCAGAGATCTCGGGTTAGATTTGCAGGTGGGATAGAAATGGTTGGACACGTTTCTTTTCACCTAATGCCTCTGTTCACCTAGTAATAGGTACCCCAGGAGTTAGTCAACTGTTGTGGGGTTGCATCCTAGGAATGGTCTGTAGTTTCACCAGGAAGGGGGGGGGGGGAATTCAATATAAGGCATATACAGTATAGAAACAGGCCTGTCCTTGGCAAAACAAATTATGTATTATAATAAAGTTAACTTTCCAATGATAGATTCCAGAGTCCTATGCTACAATGACAGATTCATTACTACAAGTTGACTACAAACATTCTCTATGGTGATTGTCCAAAGGTTGAGTTTTCACAGTACAGTATTACCTAGACCCTAGAAGGGCCTTATAAGGCACAAAGTTGGACTACGACACATCAAGTCTAAAACCACATTACCTGTAACAGTCCCCCACCAACACATCACATATTTGAAGTTCCCTAAATGCACTTAAACTTATATTTCATAAGCACAGGTATACTTTTGTGGATTAAAAGAAAAACATTATTCCTAATTTTCAATTCTGGCGGGAATTTGCCATTGTCACTATTCAACACTCCCTACATCACGAAACTTCTGCAAAATTTGGTTTCATCGACCTAAATACAAATTAACTATTTGCTAAATATGCTTAATATACACTACTATTACCATGACCAGACACCAGTGAGCCACTCGGCCCGTACTATTGTAAACAAGTTTCCTGACTTGACTTGTTGAGGAAATTATATCACGTATACCTTCATAAAACAAAATACTATCGTAGTACTATATTTGGTTTTGAATTTTTAACTTAAACATTTTTCCACATTATTTATGCACAAAAATTCAATAAATAACAATATTACATTTATCAGTACGTATACTACTTATGTATTAAGCTTCATGATAATAATCGGCTTCTACTTAGAATATGCACTTGTACTCTTCAATATCTTTATGGCGCACCGGAACCTATTTTATCAACAGGATGCTTCATCTATATTTTTAGGGAAAGATGAAAGATTTTTCCCTAGCAGGCTACTGAATGACTTAATAATAATAATAATAAATAATAATAATAATAATAATAATAATAATAATTATAATATACAGTATATATATATATATATATATATATATATATATATATATATATATATATATATATATATATATATATATATATATATATATATATATATATATATTACCTGAGGGCCATTAACACTACAGCGGCCGATAAGGATAAAACCGCGGCAGGTTGTCAAAGGTCCCCCCATTTGTCCTGATGATATTTGTAAGCTGGATATTAAAGTTCATCACTTTATTGTCATTTACGGCTTTAACGGGTAGGTGGTTCCATGGGTCTATAATCCTGTTGCAACCTTATAGGGCAAGTTACCTAATAAGCCAAGTTACCTAACAAACCGAATCTTCCACAAATTATATTTTTTCATAATTTTTCTTACGGGATGGTAAAGCTTTCCGTTACACTACAAATGATGTGATTTGATTTTAATTAAATTAATTTGAGCTAAATTCAGCATAGAAATGTTATCAGTATGCATATGCTTCTCATTCCCGTCTTTTCCCGTTGTTGTTGTTGTTTAAGATTCGCTACTTGGAACAAAAAGTCCCAAGTAGCACGGGCTATGGTGAGCCCGTATGTCTTTTCCCGCTCTCCTCCTAGAAGGGGGGGGGGGGTAGAAATAGCCTAAGCTCCTCTATCCCTTTGAGATGTATTTCTTTCTTGTCTCAATAAACATACTTGAACTTGCTCTCCTCCTCCTCTAGTTCTCATAAAACTATACAAAGAAGAACTGAAATTAATACATAAGTCTACGGACAGTACAACTAATATTACAGACTTTATGAAACATTTATTTATTTATTTATTTATTTATTTATTTATTTATTTATTTATTTTATTTATTTATTTATTTATTTATATATATATTTATTTATATACAAGTCCTGGAGCCCATCCCGACTGGCCTGTAACACTCCCATAGCCGACACGGTTCATGTGTGAAAGTTAGTCGACTACCATGTCCTTCGTAAAGTAGGATTAGCTTCTATTAATTGGGACAACCATGCTTTGAATTCTGAAATGTGGGTTTGATTGTCCATAGATTATTCTGCATATTTTTTCTCGACTGTTATATCGATGTTGAATCAACGTCGATAACGATGATAACGTTGCTTCCACGTTGGTAATGTTGATTTAGTATTACTTGAGCATGTTTTGCCCAATGGGAAACAGAGTGGGAGAGCTAAAACGAGAGAAAGAGGGAGAATTGTAAGGAAGGCAGGAGGCTGTCAGGTAGCGTGGGAGGGTAAATGGAAGGGAGGGAGAATGGCAAGGAGGGAGAATGGCAAGGAGGGAGAATGGGAGAGCGAACAGAAAGGAAGGAGAGATAATGGAATGAAGGGAGAATGAGAGGGAGGAAAACTGTGCCGTAGGGAGGGAGGGAGGGGAAATGGGAGAGAAGGAGGAAGTATGGAAGAGAGAGAGGGAGAAGAAATTGGAGAATGGCAGGGAGGAAGAGAGGGATAATGGTAAAGAGGAGAGAAAGAGAGAGTGGGAGGGAGAGACAAACGGACAGAGGCTCAGGCACCGCCGGATACCCCTCTATATTAGCTTATAAATGGAACCGCTTACCCGCCGAAGCCGCAAATGCTAAGACATTACTTCAGTTCAAAATCCAATTGAATAAAATCCTCGGGAACAATGGGGGCCTTTGATAAGCCGCCGGCTTCCTCTCTCTAATCGAGACCACTGGAGAGATTTACCTGAATTTACCTGAAGGCCACTAACACTAGAGTCCTCGACGAAGACAGAAAGCCGACGGCTTGTCAAAGTCCCCCCATTTGCCCTAGGACGGGGAAGATTTACTGGGCGCCAATCTTTAACTGTATATAAGTCTACTACGGGCTCACTGCTTGGAACTTTTTGTTCCAGGTAGCGAATCTTAAACAACAAACAACATGTACGCCTCTGTTCACCCAGCAGTGAATGGGTACCTGGTTGGTAAACGATTTGGCGGGTCGTGTTCCAGGGTAAAATTAGGATTAAGGACTTGCCCGAAACGCTATGCGGCTGTACAAGAATGTAAGAATTCTTGAATATATATAGATAAAATAAAAATTAATATAGAACATATATGTGCTATACTAGGTCGAAGAATATTTAAGTTTGGTTTTAAACTTCATTATTACGGACTATAAGGTGAATAGTACCAAATTCTACTAATTTTTCATTACCTCAATATATGTACGATAGTTCACATAGTTACAAAAAATACTATCTAGAGGATAGGTTGAACCTATATAATAATTAGACACTTTTTCACCCACAGGGTTATAAACCTATGGAACCACCTACCCGCCGAAGCCGTAAATGCCAAATCTCCGCTGAACTTTATATCTCAAACTGGAAAAAAATCATCAGGACAAATGGTGGGACCTTTGACAAGCCGCCGGATTCATGTCCTCGTTGAGGCCACTACAGTGTTTGTGTCCCTCGGGTAAATGAATGTAATTGTAAATTATTGTACGGAGTGTTCGTTTTGGACTCACAATCGGGTATTTCAGGTTCGAATCCCCGACGGAACCGAAATGATTGGGGTTAGCTTGTTATGCATCCTGGGGTCGGGTCACTTCAGTAGTTCCACTTTGGGGGGGGGCCTCAATATAAGCCTAACATGCATATATAATTCATTTATAATAATTAATTGTGTAGGAAGACAGGAAGCCAGAGTGTATTCATACACGTTAGGCTTATATGCAGGTCCCCCCCCCCCCTGCCCCAAAGGTCGAATTACTGACCCCGCCCAGGATGCAATCCCACAAGCTAACTAGCTCCTGAGTAGCTACTTACTGCTACGTGAACAGAGGCATTATGGAAAAGAAATGTACTTAACTACATATGTTCCGGCCGGGATTCGAACCCAGAATTCTCGATTGTGTGTCGAGAACGAACCCGACTGTATTACTGGGAATGCCTGTCCTGGCATCTACTACTCTGACTGCCTGTCCCCCATTAAAATGAATTATTATTATTATAATGATCACCCATATATTAAATGAAATAGCAAATGCTTGATCTATACTCTTTCAACCTTCATACATAATTGCAGAGTGCGTGTACCTAGGCTTGTTAATAAAAATAGTCTCTGCATATAACATTGCTACTAATATATATGAGTGGCATCATAATATGAATTAGCGAACTAAGATACTTTAGCTAGGACATGATACTGATGCGTAGTTGCTGTTGCTGGTGTAATAAAGCTTGAGTTTACTGGGGTAAACATGTTTTGTTAGGGAATATTTAGGGGAAATTTTGAGAGGTGAGCGGCGGAGCGGGAGACCCAGTCAGTCGGGCTAGTAACTTGTGCAGGGGAGGATGTGCGTTATGTAGTGCGGATTGCTATGTGAAGTCTACAGTGAAAATTATAATTATGGAGAACAATTCGCTCTGCAGTAGTCTATTAAAATGGGTAAGTTTCTGAAAACATATATGCTTTAAGAAGGTATTTTTTTGGTTAATGGATCAAGTTTTGATCTCCCAACCGTTTGTAAACATCTCTAGGGCTCGGACAGGTTTTTTTTTGTTTAACACTATTAGGTCAGAGTGACATATTGCATCGTTTATTCGAGACTTTCGTTAGCAACAGATCATTGACGCCTAGTTTGGCCACCTTGCTGATAAAAAAAGTGTGTGTTGGGTTAGCTTTTGAGGATTAGTTAGGCCTAGTTGAGTTCATTTCTAAGCCCCTCCCACCTATCAGCGAGCCTATGAGGGAGGTGGAAAGGTTACCAGTAGTTAATGAAACTGTTGACTCGGTTACACCATAAATATTAGGATATTTTGTCATTAAATTCTCACTGGGGAAAGAATTGCCCACTTTATATGTAATTTCTAGCAATTCACAATTTTTTAATATAGGCTTATTTAAGCATTTGTTCTTGCTTTTAATTGCAAACTGGATTTTTTTTTAATTTCTGGAGACGTTACCATATACAGAAAATATTACTGTATATACAGGAAGTATTCCTGTACAGGTCCATCCTGTACAGGAATACCATATTCTGTACAGGATGGACCACACACTTATGCCTGGTGGTGTGCATACGGTACAGCTCTTACATTTCGTATATTGACTATTGGACAGTATTAAAACCTAATAGAGAATGCTGTTATGAACAGATAAAAATCTTGGTCAGCACATATTTTGTTGGTGGTGTGTAGTTTTGATATACATAATCTGGGCTTTGTAAAAAAATGTTCATGCCAGTGTAAAACAGCACATAAAGGTCATGAACATGATTGAACATTGATAGTTTTTGGATAACTCGTAGCATATTTATTACAGGAGTTATACGTATATGTAAATATATATTAGAAATACAATGAATATATAACAACAAAGATGGTATAAGCTAAACACTTGTCAATAAAGTATTTTGTCGTACTTTGTGCACAATACTTACAAAAGACCAAAATAAGTATGAAAATAGCCTTGAGAAGAAGCAGAAATATTATGCTCTTGTATTAAGATCCACAGGGCAGTAGAAAATAACGAAATTTATGGGTGACAAATTCTAATTACTTCAATATGGGAAAATAAAAACCTGAAAAGGCATTGAAGACAGTCTCGGTGGTACAATTTGGTTTATTCTCGATTCACAGTTGGAACCATAATTTTCAACATTGGATATTACAAAGTAATAGAAATGTTTATTATTTTAAGATACACAACATATGGTTTTATCACATAAACAGTATTCACCTTTATTTATTAAAGACTAGATGTGGAAGTTTTTGATTATTCAATTTTTGAATAAAATTGCCAATTAATGCAACAAGTTTAGATCCATATCTAATTGCTCAATTGTAACAGAATAAAATGAAATGTTCTGTGCAAACCTGTTTTTGTCCACTTTACATTTCATGTTACAGTACAGTATCTAGATCTCAATAACAGCTTAGCTGTTAGAGCTACTTACAACAAAGCTGTATTTATTGTGACTGTCAATCTACTGATTGTTGCTTCCCCCATGCAAGTGTGTAGTTTGACATTCCATTGTAATACAGTGACTCTGCTAGTTCCTGTTTGCACTCTTCTGATCTTCTCAAATTCATCCAAGAGTATTTTGCTAATGACACTTTTGGCTTTTGTTTGATAGCTGTAAATTATAGTAGCTTCTGTTTATAACTAACCAACACTTGAAACAATTCAGTGGCCTTGTGTCTATTGCCTTGTATTAATGCTACCCAGAAACCTTTTCCATAAATCTATGACCATTTTTCCAAACCAATATTTAAAAAGTTCTTTTCTGAATCAAAACCTAATTTGCAGTCATTGTTCTATATTTTATTTTGTCTTGCACAAATAATGCTACAAGAATTCAAACAAAACTCTGAAGATGCAGGATAGTGAAATTTTCACTAGCTTTTCTATCCATTGTCATACTTCCATCCAGGAAGAGCCACTTATCATTGAATCAGTAAAATTAGCATACTCCTACATCTCACCATTGCTCAGCTTAGGCTCTGTTATAAGTATAGTATTCTGTCTCTGGGAGTTAGTTTATATTTCCTGCCGATGTAGACCTCATCAACTGTAAACTTTCGGCAAAACTATTTACACACCCTGCATCACTGTTATGTGAAAAAAATTTAAGAATTTAAAGAAAACTATCTCAAATATTCAAGAAATATGCAAGTATTTCACTCAAAATAATGTTGTATCAGAAATCTTAGCAAAGTATCCAAAGTTTGCCTACTGCTGGTAGTGCATGCAAGTGATTGTAACCTTTCCACTGATGTCCACTGGATGGGAGTCAGGTCCATGATTGGCAAATAAAATGTTACTAACTCAACAGAAACACACATTGTTTGGCTTAAGGATTATGTGGGGGTCCAATGCCTGAAACCAGTAATGCTAAAATCTTCCTGCCAGTCCTCCTAAGGATGTACAGTATATGTGGGCCTGGATTAATTAAACTGACAAGAACTTTCAAAATGGTGTTATTAATAAACTGTACATTCAGTTTAATAAACTGTGAACTATTGATGTAAGTATGTGAACAGACTAGCTCATCAACACTAACTTGCTTAGCAAACAAATCTTGGGGTTCAGTTTCTGAACCCACTGTGTTCCTCAAATCTTACATACTACTGCACACAGGGTAGGTATGGGGTACATAATAAACCTATAAGAAAACCTGTACCGCATATATCTATAACTACATCTTCCCGTCTGCTAACCACAGTTTAACATACAGTCTTCCCACCTAGCTATGACCTCAAAACTTCCCATTTGTTCTCAGCACACAGCTGAGTCTGGTTACAAGTAACAAGAACAACATAGTGGGTTTTCTTCCTAATTGGGAGTGTTGTACATGCTGCTATGGCAGTATATCCACTCACCGGATGAGTGGCACTGCTCAAAAAACTCGCCCCTCAAGGCAAAATTTAAAATCTACCTCTTTAATATACTCCAACAACGTGCCACCCTCAGCACATTACCAGCAAATAACAAGACTAAAATGGGAAAGAGAACACCAGCAAACATGCACATGTGAATTACATAGAGCAGCAACAGCACATAATGAAAGCAAAATTACTAATCATGGGGGAATCTGAATTATGGAGTGATGGGCCTGAAATCTTGGATTTAACTCTCCAGTGATGATGAATTGTGTGAGGCAAAGTTTGTGGCAGAAGTTATGGAAAGAAATCTCTTAACATGGAAAAGTTGACACAAGGAAAAGATGATACACCTAGTCTACTGGACCGTCACCAAGGTATGAAGAGGTCATTAAGAACTTTAAAACATGAAATTCCAGCCACCATTGAGTCCCTCTTTATTTATCTAAAAGCGAAACTATTGTCATGGGTCAGGGTTAGGAGATTAGGCTACAGAAAGAGAATTAAACAAGTTACTGTATATAGATTATTTCAAGAATATACTCTAATGAGCTTAGAACGTAGGGAACAGACTGTCCAAGAATTGGAGAGTCAAGTCATAAGGAAGATGTACGGAGGGTGAGAAGAGATACCCATCTATCACTTATTGTTTGTTTGGAAATATACAAAAATCCATTGTTTAGCAGAATACCAAAAAGAAAAAGTGGAGGTAGTGGAAAAATAGATGACAAAATAGCATAACATGTGACAGATAGCTAGGAACAAACACACACACATACATACATACATACATACATACATACATACATACATACATACATACATACATACATACATACATACATACATACATACTCAGGAGTTAGGCAACTGTTGTGGATTGCATCCTGGAAAAAGTCAGTAGGGGGTATAACCCTGTCCCCAACAATGGGAATTAATATAAGCCTAACAAGAGTACAGTACTAGAATAACAATGAAAATGAAACTGCATAAAAATTTAAATAAAAGTTATTACATAGTCATAAAAAAGATGACGAAGGATTTTTTTTATAAAAGACTAGGGTTCATAAGGGCTGTCAAATGATGTATCTAGTGAAACTGCAAGCAAGAGCTGTTATCCTACCTCAGCTCCTCAGAAGTCAGCTCCAAGAGACCCATTTATTTCCCGAGCTTATTATATGCATCAATAGGAATAAACTTTATTCATTAACAACATTAGGTAAGTCATACAAGGAACAGGATGAGCCTGTAGCCAACTGTATGTCTGAATCCTCATGGGATCAGTTGACCGGATTTCTCATATATCATACCTGGAGATGGTTCTGGGAGTTCTTCTACTCCTCTAGCCCGGCCTGAGGCCAGGTTCGACTTGTGATAACTTGGTGCAACAGGGTGTTGCTTGGAGCGGCCCGCAGGCCCACATATCCACTACAGCCTGGTTGATCTAGCACTTCTTGCAAGAACTTATTTAATTGCCTCTTGAATCAACCTGTTGAGCGAACCAGTTCCAGATGCTAGTCAGTCTGGGAATGAATAATTGCTGATGGAATAATGTTCTTGAGAAAGGCAGTTCTAGCATGAGACTGGTGAAGGTTGAGAGCCTAGTGCTACGGGTGTCAACTGCTGGTTGTCCATGGAGTTAGGCCAGGTGCAGAACTTTGAGAATGTTGGCCTTGCACATAATAATAATAAATACATAATTGTACATAATAACCACCAGCATCGTGATTGTGTTGTAGACTCAGACGTTCAAACCATTACCACCAGACTTGGTCAAAACTAGATGATGCTGATTAACATTCGCTACTTGGAACAAAAAGTTCCAAGTAGCACGGGCTATGGTGAGCCCATACACTAGAGTTGTTACCGTGGCACTCTGTTCCCTCTTGAATTATGGCGACCCCTACCAGCCTATGTCTGACCCGAACCCCCAGACTATTCACCCTGAAAAGTTGGGCAAGGCTAGCCCCAAGCGTCTTAAATTCTTTACATCGACATTGCTCTTTTATTGATGTTGATGGTGAGTTGGAAGTTAGAAATGCTCATTTCCGTCTAGTAATTTTGTTCAAACTTACAATAAGTATAACAGGCGGTTGCTAATGCTAGGACTATTTACTAGTGGCACCCTAGCCCTATTTTATTTTTAACGCTCGATGTTACTAGTGGTACTGTAGCCTAATCTTAGTTCCTCTGTTAATGCTAGAACTATTTAGTAGCGATATTGAAGCCTACAATTAGTTCCTTTGTTAACGCTAGGATTATTTACTAGAGGTACCGTAGCCTACTCAGGTCCTTAACGCTATAATCATTTGCTAGTGATGCCGTAGACTACACTAATATTGTTGAAGATTCAGTTAGCCTGAACGCTCATTTGGCAGTGTTCAACTGGCCAGTTTTTTGGGGTGGATGTGGGGAAAATGTTGAGCGCAGGGTCGCTGGGTAACTCAGACAAGTTTTGGTCACCAGCAAAACTGAGCTCTGGGTCCAAGGTTATGTTTTGCATCGACGCATAATAATGTCGTCACCTTTTGGTTCTCACGATTTCGAAACCGTTGTTCCCAGCGTCATCTCTTACATGTGACATTTGGAGACTTGGTTGTTACGTCGTTGTTTGTAACAGTTTCGCTTGCACATATTAAGCATTTCGCTATTGTTATATGTTTTGCTTGCAGACATGTTAAGCAGCCTAGTCTATATATATATATATATATATATATATATATATATATATATATATATATATATATATATATATATATATATATATATATATATATATATATATATATATATATATATATATATATATATATATATATATATATATATATATATATATATATATAATATGGTATACAAATTATTTTCTTCATTATATACCAGATCAGTTTTTATCTTGAAGGTTTCAACTTTGTTTTACCCAAACATATATCTCCCATAGAAAGTTTAGTACATTATTTAAACGATGGATAGGCTTTATCCCTATTACTTGACCAAACCAACATAAACATTTTCACATTTTATTGTTAACTGCGTTACAGAAAATAAGTCGCAATAACTTGACAAATTTCAAAGCCCTCGCACATTTATTTTTTTGAGTTAAATCTCGTAAATGCTTTTACGTATTGGCTAGAAATTTACAACACTTAAGTATATCCCAGTGTTTATACGAATGTTCCTATTAAAGCTGAAAAATTGATATTATAAACCCATTTAAACGCTTTTGACGGGTTATGACCTTGAGGGATATTGAGGAGGTTATCCCGAGATGATTTCGGGACTTAGCGTCCCCGCGGCCTGGTCCTCGACCAGGCCTCCTTTTTATTACACACCCCCCGGGAAGCAGCCCGTAGCAGCTATCTAACTCCCAGGTACCTATTTACTGTTAGGTAACAGGGGCATCAGGGTGAAAGAAACATTTTGCCCATTTGTTTCCGCCTCCACCGGGGATCGAACCCGGAACTTCAGGACTACGGATCCGATGCGCTGTCCACCCAGCTGTCAGAAGCGGGCCAAATGTATTATTATAGTTTCCCAGTTACACAAGGATAAGACAGCTTCATTCAGATGATTTTTTTTGAAAGGATATTCCTGCGCGGGCCCTAAGCCTCTGGCTGGCCCATCAAGTGTTGCTTGTTTCTGTTTTACTTGGGCGGAGTATGAGTATTTATGACTAGTATGGTCGCTTCAGTAAGATTTTGTCCCCTGTGTCCCTATGTTTAACAACTTATTCAGATGAAGATACGTAAGCAGCAAATGAATGGAAGGTTAACTTTACTGAACATAAGAACATAAGAATGAAGGTAACTGCAGAAGGCCTATTCCCTATACGAGGCAGCTCCTATTTATATCCGCCCAATCTCATATATATGTAACTTATGCTTGAAACAATCAATTATCTAAATCCCTTGATCTAGATCAATTGATCCCTACTAGAAGTAGGGATCCTACTTCTATTATGAAGCATCATTCATTCATTCACCGCATCCTCCACACTGAACAGCATCGTCACACTAGCAGATAGTTCAAAGCAATGCTTCTCTTCATAATGCTGGTACTAGGTCTTCATGCGAAAAGTATTATATATATTTTTTTTTACATAGTGATTCGTCTTGATGATCTTAATCCCTCGTGCCGTTTACAGTCGACCACCTCTTGATATATGATCTTTTGTAAGTATTGTGCACAAAGTACGACAAAATACTTTATCGACAAGTGTCGACAAGTGTGTAGCTTATACCATCTTTGTTATTATATTTTCATTGTATTTCTAATATACACTGTTACATACACGTATAACTCGTGTAATAAATATGTTACCTTCATTTATTTGTTGCCCATATCCACTGTCTAGCAATCCTCGCTCACATAGCCTTCATCGAAAGACCTTCAACAAATCCACATATATCTACATGCTGCTTGATATACCACACAACTCTGGTGTATATTTAGAGATGAGATTTTGCTAGTTAGTGGCAGGTTATCATAGCCTAGTCTCATCCGTCGAATTTTAACTGTCAGGTTAAAATTCAGGATCAGGTATCCAAAGGATACCTGATCAACCAGGCTGTGACTCATACGTCAGGCTGCGAGCAGCGCGTCTAACAGCCTGGTTGATCAGTCCAGCAACCAGGAGGCCTGGTCGACGACCGGGCCGCGGGGACACTAAACCCCGGAAGCACCTCAAGGTAGGTAGGTAGGTAGTTGGAGGAGCGTCACATCCAGTGATTCTTCTGTACTGACGCAAAACCATGCTAGGTTTAACGGGAGTTTGACTTTTCTGCAGTATCTGGAACCAGTGGTATAAGCCACTGGTGTTGAGGCAAACGGTAGGTGACTGGGTTAGTCAGAAATATTCCCATATGGTGGTCTGCTTTGCCCAGCCCAGCCTCCTGTTTTGGTAGTAGGCATCCTTCAGTCTCGGAAGACTAAGTTAGGGCGACGCAAAGCCTGGGTAGGTAGATATGGAGGAGAAGCTGTTACCCATGCAGCAGGTCCCCCTCTCCACGTTGCTGAAATTATCCAATAGAAATGGAAAGGAAAGGCAAATGCCAATTCACATGGTTCCAGCAACGTCGCAGGAGCTGCCAGAACGAGGTCGACGTCAACAACGCACTGCCTTAGGGGCTCCTGTTTTGGTAGTACTTGTAATAACGATGATGACCATAGTATATATCTACCGACGTACAACGAAATTAGAAAGAAGAAATCTGAACTATTGAGTTGGACAAACCAGAAAACTATTTTTTTTTTACTTGTGTTGCTTTGACAAAGTAAACTAACCTAACTTAACCTTCCTAGGCCTAATACTCGGTACCTGATGCCTAATATAGTACATATGTGTGCTATGCTAGGCTTAGAAATATTTGTTTTTCATTTATTTTTAAAGACTTCCTTGTACCACTATCTAAATACTAGGTACGTACTAATTTGAGCATCACAATAGGTACTATCTAAACAGAAGAATGGGTTGCAGCGCCTTATGTTGTTCCTCCTTGTAAATAACTTTCAGGTATTGGTTACATGCTAAGAGTCAGTTTGCAAACTTCGCTCTTAATTAAGGTCAATGTCGAATGATGTTTTGGATTTCCTGGTTAATTTCTCTTAAGAGCCAAGACCAATCTTGTGTATTTAACTCATACTTGTAGTTCTTGCGTCGTTCTCTTGGTGCTCCTTTAATGCTTGAGTAAGGTTCATGAGCTGATGAGGCTTGATGACCTTGTCACCACCAAACTTGCGTGCGCGCTCACGATGCCGGTGCGGTGGTTGACATAATTCACTCCACCTCCTGTTGAGATGCTACTATTTGTAACTATGTGGACCATCGCACATATTTTGACGTAAAGGGCAATTAGATAGAATTTGGTACTATTCACTTTGAGTCTGAAAAAATAAAGCTAAAACACAAACATATTCCTAGGCCTAGGATGGTTAGGCTAGTTTGTTTTCTTTGCAACATAAATACAAAATCTTTTCCAGTTTGTCCAAATTCAATAATGCGGAGTTCTACTTTCTAATTGCCTTTTACGTCAGTATATGTACGATTGTCCTTATTGTTATCTTGAGATGATTTCGGGGCTTTTAAAGTGTCCCCGCGGCCCGGTCCTCGACCAGGCCTCCACCCCCAGGAAGTAGCCCGTGACAGCTAACTAACACCCAGGTACCTATTTTACTGCTAGGTAACAGGGGCATAGGGTGAAAGAAACTGCCCATTGTTTCTCGTCGGCGCCTGGGATCGAACCCAGGACCACAGGATCACAAGTCCAGCGTGCTCTCCGCTCGGCCGACCGGCTCCCTCAAGTACTTTTGTTACTATAAGTACTACCTAAGCAGAAAGATGGGCTGCATAATTCTTCAACATTTCTTCCAAACAGTATTCATGTTGTTGCTCTTCAATACGGCCCACTTACCCTTTAATGCTGTTAATTGCATAACGATTTTTTCCTGTTCCTTCATGCATCAAATGGAAGGTCAAGGTAGTGGCTATATTTTATATAACAAATTGGCTTATTTGACGTTACTGCAATTTATCAACGTGCAGAAATGTTATTTTAGTTACAGGTTCAGAGCTTATTTAAATACTGTGAACAGTGACGTGAAATGTTTGTTCTTCCTACAGCTGGAGACGTTTCCCGGCCGCCAGGGCATCACCATTCATATGCTGACAGACGGCGTCGTCATGGCAACCGTCCTCCACCAGATGTAAGTACCTTTTTGTTCATTCATACCTATTCCCCCCCCCCCCATGCCTCTTTCATATGTTCCTTCATGCCTCTCTCTCTCCTATGTTCCTTCATGCCTCTCTCTCTCCTATGTTCCTTCATGCCTCTCTCTCTCCTATGTTCCTTCATGCCTCTCTCTCTCCTATGTTCCTTCATGCCTCTCTCTCTCCTATGTTCCTTCATGCCTCTCTCTCTCTCCTATGTTCCTTCATGCCTCTCTCTCCTATGTTCCTTCATGCCTCTCTCTCTCCTATGTTCCTTCATGCCTCTCTCTCTCCTATGTTCCTTCATTGCCTCTCTCTCTCCTATGTTCCTTCATGCCTCTCTCTCTCCTATGTTCCTTCATGCCTCTCTCTCTCCTATGTTCCTTCATGCCTCTCTCTCTCTCCTATGTTACTTCATTGCCTCTTTCCTGTCGCGCGCGCGGTTAGTGTGTGTGTGTCCACCTGTTTTGGTAATACTTATTGTAACGATGAGGAACATAGTATATATACTGACGTACAACGCAATTAGAAAGTAGAAATCGGTACTATTGGATTGGGACAAACCGGAAGAGATTTTAATTTAATATGGATAAAGTACGTATTTTTTTTTTCATAAACCGACAGATATACATTGCGGTTGGTCAGTTGCATGTGCTCTAGCGACGTTATCTGGTTGATAAGGTTCCCTGGTAATGTAAAGTTAGGTGGGTGCATGTGTGTAGCGTCGTCAAGTGCTGCACCGGTGAAGCCTGCCGGGTGCAGCACGGCCACTAATGGTTATCCCGCATTACTGGAAACCTCTCACACACTACCTGCTGCCTCCTTTACTACGTCTGCTGCCTTACCTGGGGGGCTGACAGCTAGCTGAGTGGACAGCGCTTCGGATTCGTAGTCCTGAGGTTCCGGGTTCGATCTCCGGTGGAGGCGGAGACAAATGGTCAAAAAGTCTCTCTCACTGTAATGCCCGTGTTACCTAGCAGTAAATAGGTAACTGGGAGTTAGACAGCTGTTACGTGCTGCTTCCTGGGGATGTGGTACAAAAAAGAGGCCTGGTCGAGGACTGGGCCGCGGGAACGCTAAGCCCCGAAATCATCTCAAGATAACTTCAAGATAACTTACTGCTGGTACTCGTGTTGGTGCTGGCGTTTTGGTCCTCTTTACACCCATATTACCGAGAATATTAGAGTTGGTTGCCTGGTTGATCCCTGGTTGATGGGGTTCTGGGAGTTCTTCTACTCCCCAAGCCCGGCCCGAGGCCAGGCTTGACTTGTGAGAGTTTGGTCCACCAGGCTGTTGCTTGGAGCGGCCCGCAGGCCCACATACCCACCACAGCCCGGCTGATCCGGAACTTCTCTTACAAAAAAAGTCCAGTTTTCTCTTGAAGATGTCCATGGTTGCTCCGGCAATATTTCTTATAGTCGCTGGGAGGACGTTGAACAACCGCGGACCTCTGATGTTTATACAGTGTTCTCTGATTGTGCCTATGGCACCTCTGCTCTTCACTGGTTCAATCTTGCATTTTCTTCTGTTAGAGGGGGGAGGGAGGGAGGGAGCTGCTCTCTTAACAGTGATGTAACTGTTACATCACAAGGGGGCTACAAGTGACATTCGGGAAGCTGGTGTGGGTAGTGATAGCACTACGGTCTTGAGTGATTCTCTTGGTGGTATTTCTGTTGGTTATACTCGCTAATGTTGCTTGTTAGTGATGTTGTTGCTTTTGGGTCATTCTTCCCTCTCTCCGTTTTTGTGTATTATTAGGTCGTGATAGGTTTTTTTCAGTTTTAACTACTCATCTTGTGACTGATGAGCAATATAACAATTTATTGACTACAAATTTAAAGTTTAAATTGAAAATGGAGGGCGTAGCCTAGTAGTTTCTAAATACATTTTTGTTTACAAAGTTCCTGTTCAATATCTTGAGATTGTCTCCTCATATTCACTATAAAGTCTGTAACGTTTATAAATGATCAAGGAACTAAGTTTTATATTTGTAATGGTCCTTGTTGCCATTTAGAACACTTTTATTATGCTATAATTTACCGCCAGAACCAAGAAAGTAAAACCTAACAAGTGATGACCCAAAAGTTTATTACCTACATTATTTAGGTTATGTAACTAGAAATTTTGTTAGCTAAATCTACCTAGACGTACTCCCATCTATCTGGTCATGACAACCCATCCAACAAACATCTAAAGCCATACAACCTGTCCACCCGTACAACCTGTCCACCCGTACAACCTGTCCATCCGTACAACCTGTCCATCCGTACAACCTGTCCACCCCGTACAACCTGTCCACCCCGTACAACCTGTCCACCCGTACAACCTGTCCACCCCGTACAACCTGTCCACCCGTACAACCTGTCCACCCCGTACAACCTGTCCACCCCGTACAACCTGTCCACCCGTACAACCTGTCCACCCCGTACAACCTGTCCACCCGTACAACCTGTCCACCCCGTACAACCTGTCCACCCCGTACAACCTGTCCACCCGTACAACCTGTCCACCCGTACAACCTGTCCACCCGTACAACCTGTCCACCCCGTACAACCTGTCCACCCCGTACAACCTGTCCACCCCGTACAACCTGTCCACCCCGTACAACCTGTCCACCCCGTACAACCTGTCCACCCCGTACAACCTGTCCACCCCGTACAACCTGTCCACCCCGTACAACCTGTCCACCCCGTACAACCTGTCCACCCCGTACAACCTGTCCACCCCGTACCACCTGTCCACCCGTACAACCTGTCCATCCGTACAACCTGTCCACCCCGTACAACCTGTCCACCCCGTACAACCTGTCCACCCCGTACAACCTGTCCACCCCGTACAACCTGTCCACCCGTACAACCTGTCCACCCCGTACAACCTGTCCACCCCGTACAACCTGTCCACCCCGTACAACCTGTCCACCCCGTACAACCTGTCCATCCGTACAACCTGTCCATCCGTACAACCTGTCCATCCGTACAACCTGTCCACCCCGTACAACCTGTCCACCCCGTACAACCTGTCCGCCCCGTACAACCTGTCCGCCCCGTACAACCTGTCCACCCCGTACAACCTGTCCACCCCGTACAACCTGTCCACCCCGTACAACCTGTCCGCCCCGTACAACCTGTCCGCCCCGTACAACCTGTCCGCCCCGTACAACCTGTCCACCCCGTACAACCTGTCCACCCCGTACAACCTGTCCGCCCCGTACAACCTGTCCGCCCCGTACAACCTGTCCACCCCGTACAACCTGTCCGCCCCGTACAACCTGTCCACCCCGTACAACCTGTCCAAAGAAACACATCTTCACTACCCACCTACCCCAACGCGTGACACAACTAAATGTCCTACGATGAATGGTGTATTTCTTCAGCCAGAAATGCTGGGCAGCACCAGAGAGATTTGTCCAAAGTAAATATTTCCAAAGTTAGTAAATTAAGATTACAAGAAGAGGGACATGACAAATTTACAGGACTAAAATGACGGAGCGAGTACATCGGAGTTCCAATATTGAACACTGAAATAATTCCTTAATAGACCAGGTAGCATTTCAGAATGTACAAAATAACCCCAATGAGGTGTAGAGCTTTAAAGAGAGAATTTAAACATTGAGTCACTAAGACTTCAACACAAAATATACAGGACATAACAAGCCAACATCTTTCGGCGTTCAAAATGAAACTTGATAAACATCTCCGAAGGGTACCTGATCAACCAGGTTGTTACTCGTACTTCAGATTTCGTGCTGCGGCGTAAAATAACCTAAATAAGCCGACCGTCAACAATAGGCATGGTCAGAGACCGGACCTTGGGAGGGCATTGGTCCTCGAATCCACTTCAAGGTACACCTTTCTTGTTCCAGAGACTACATTTTGATTGAGATGTTCTCAGTGATTAAGATGCTGATACCTGCTTGATGGGGTTCTGAGAGTTCTACTCCCGAAGCCCAGCCCAAGGCCAAGCTTGACTTGTGAGAGCTTGGTCCACCAGGCTGTTGCTTGGAGCGGCCCACAGGCTCGCATATCCACCACAGTTCAGTTGGTCCGGCACTTCTTGGAGAAAATTTAGTTTTATCTTGAAGATGTCCACGGTTGTTCTGGCAATATTTCTGATGCTCGCTGGGAGGACGTTGAACAACCGCGGACCTCTGATGTTTATAGTGTTCTCTGATTGCGCCTATGGCACGTCTGCTCTTAACTGGTTCTATTCTGCATTTTCTTCCATATCGTGCTGGTCTCGGGGAGCAGAAGACCTCCCGAAATCATCTCCAGGTATGACTGTCATAATACCTTGGTATACGACACTACATCATTATCATACATTATATCCTAGCTGTCAGCAGGATACTTTAATGTGTAGATGAAGAGGGAGGATGTGGCGGCCACGTGGACCACCTGGAGGGATGGTCCAGGCTGCCACAACTCTTGACGGAGCCGGACTCGTCTCAAGAGCCCCGGGGTAAACAAAAACACTCAGTGTGTGGCGTTGAGAAATTGATTAAGAGGTCATGGGGGGGGAAAGAACTTAGAGAACACTGGCTACCCAAATCTTCAAAAATTGTCTTAACGGAGAAAACCAATAAGAGCGTGATGTAAGTATGTAGGAGCTAACGTACATGACAAACTAAGCAGGAATGGCGTTTGCAAAATCGTTCATGTTCAGGCTACGGTAAGTTGAGAATATTTCCGAATTAATAATAATTGTCGGGGACAGCTAGCCTGTGAATAATATATATATATATATATATATATATATATATATATATATATATATATAAATAAACTACTAACCTTCTCCAGGATGCAACTCCATGGTAGTTGACTTAATTCTCGGGGACATATTTACTGCTAGGTGAACAGAGACATTAGGTCAAAGGAAACGTACCCAACCATTTCTGTCCCTTAAGGGATTCAAACCCGGGATTCCCGATTAAGAGTTGAGGAAAAACCTTTACACAACAAGGATACCAAGCGCTGAGGTCTGGTGCACAGCAAGG